TTGGTATTTAATCATGGCTACGATTCTATGTGCTTTTTCCCTAATTTGTGAGCGAAACACAAAGAACCCTGCGATTTTCTTCAGCTTCATGGCGGAATTGTTGAGAGTCGTTTGGGCCAGGTGGTCGTTCATATTCTGCTCCTTGGCAGAAGCTGGAAAGATTGGACGAGAGTCAAAAAAAAGCAAACAGCTTCATGAATTCAACAAACAGGAGTGAACAGGTGTTTGGTAGATGATTATGTTTTTTTTGGCTGGGGAAGAGGGGTGCATACATGGCAAGACAATAAGACTGTCCGGCTGTTGTTTTTTTTTGTCGGGTATTGGATGGTATTGGCGTATCAGCCTGGAAACCAATCTCAGTATGTAATGTCTACATTGGATTAGTAAACCTCCGCTGCCTTATTGGGAACTTGCCTCAAAATTGTGATCACTTATATATTATTTACATGGTGAAATCGGTACCATCCCAAAAGCAATCTGGAGGTTTAGCAAGGTCATGGAGTCATGGATAACCATGACCGCCATAACCCATCATAATGCCATGTCAGTGCTCATCCTCCAAGGTTTCGCCTTCATGACGTTATGGGCCATGCTTATGGTCGAGTTTGTCCACCCCTTGATGGAGCAGATGTTTCGCGATGGTCGCGCTTTTCAAGACTGCCAAGAGTGCGCTGAGCAGGCGTCCTCAGTGATGAGGGCGAATCTCTTACTTTTCAAAACGGCGCCTGAACTGAAGTGGTGTGATGTGTGGATAGGTCAAAACATGTCAAAACCAACGAGTTTCCATACATGACCCACACCCAAATGGATCACAGGGTAATTTTTTACGATTGAAATCTTTTCTATCCACACACTTCCTGAGAAGGCACTTGACTCGCTCAACCACAATACTCCAAACAGGCCCTCAGAAGGTACTTGGCGCCACGTAAGAAGACCAACCCGGAGGTTACCAGGCCCAAGTTCCTTAAGTCTTTGGAAGTAAACACACTTTTCAAACAGAGGTAGACCATGCCAATCTGCCAGATTCCATGCCTAACAAATTCTCTGTTCTGCATTCTTTATCCAGACATATAGGCTATAGGCAACATCTGGGGAGAGCTACAGCTACCCACACTCACAATTTGCAATTCTGTCGCGCAAGATGCTATGTCCTTTTGGTCTTCCTGGAATGGTTGCAAAGAATCTCTGGCATTTGTTTCTCAAAGTGATCCTTTCATAGAACCATTTCAAAGGAAACCCACACACACAACCACAACAACAACAACAACAGCAACAACAAGAACAACAACAACAGCAGCAACAACAACAACGTAACAGACAAAAACGAAAATCGTATAGTTGATGGCAACAACCCAACCGTGTGCTGAAAAAAATCACTCAGACCGGCTTGGATTGAACCCTGGCAACCTGGTTCATGGTTTTCTAGATGTTCATGCAGACTGTATGATTTTGTATACTTAGATGCGCGTCCGCATCCGAGTGACGAAGTGGTCATGGCACGCCATGAGTTATGGCTCTCATGTTTCTATCGTTTGCGACCTTGCCAGTATCTACATTATATACATGATATGTATACATGATATACATGCATGATATACATACATGCATGCATGCATACATGCATACATAGATACACCGATAGATACATAGATAGATACATTGATAGATGGATAGACAGACGAGTAGATATATATATTTTTATAGATACATAGATACATAAACAGATACACAGATAGATACACAGATACATACATTGATAGATAGATATCCTTGCATCCAAACATCCATACATCCATCCATCCTTCCTTCCTTCCTTCCTTTCATTTGTGCATCCATACATACATATACATACATACAGACAGACAGACAAACAGACATACAGACATACAGACCGACCGACCAACCGACCGACCGACGTATGTACGTACGCACGTACATATATACATACATACATACATACATACATACATAGATAGATAGATAGATAGATAGATAGATAGTTAGATAGATAGATAGATATATACATAGATACATAGATACATAGATACATAGATACATAGATACATACATACATACATTCATACATACATACATACATACATATGTACATAGATAGATACGTAGATACATAGATACATAGATACATACATACATACATACGTATGTATGTATGTATGCATGCATGTATGTATGTATCTATGTATGTATGTATGTACGTACATACATACATTTAATCAAATGTATGTAATGTAATGTGATGTAACGTAATGTAATGTAATGTATTTAATGTAATGTTACGTTATGTTATGTTATGTTGCGTATTTATGTAATGAATGTATGTATGTACGTACGTACGTACGTATGTATTGTATGTATGTATGTATGTATGTATGTATGTATGTATGTATGTATGTAATGTATGTATGTAATGTATGTATGTATGTATGTATGTATGTATGTATGTATGTAATGTATGTATGTAATGTATGTATGTATGTATGTATGTATGTAGGTATGTATGTATGTATGTATGTATGTAATGTAAGTAAGTAAGTAAGTAAGTATGTATGTATGTATGTATGTATGTAATGTATGTATGTAATGTATGTATGTATGTAGGTATGTATGTATGTATGTATGTAATGTAAGTAAGTAAGTAAGTAAGTATGTATGTATGTATGTATGTATGTAATGTATGTATGTAATGTATGTATGTATGTATGTATGTATGTATGTATGTATGTATTTATGTAGGTATGTATGTATGTATGTATGCATGTATGTATGTATGTACTAATGTAATGTAATGTAATGTAATGTAATGTAATGTAATGTATGTATGTAATGTATGTATGTATGTATGTATGTATGTATGTACGTACGTACGTATGTATGTATGTATGTATGTGTGTGTGTATGTATGTATGTACGTACATACATATGTATTTATGTATGTAATGTAGTGTAGTGTCGTGTCGTGTAGTGTAGTGTAATGTAATGTAATGTAATGTATTTAATGTAATGTAATGTTATGTTATGTTATGTATTTATGTAATGTATGTATGTATGGTTTGGTTTGGTTTGGTTTGGTTTGGCTTGGTTTGGTTTGGTATGGTATGGTATGTTACGTACGTACACACACACACACACCGAATATGCGCACCGATATGGATGGGCCATCACAATCACAAAAGAGTTGCACATGATTGATTCGAACAGATCTGAGTTGTACCATCTGGCACCTCCAAGGTTATCGCAGGAGATAGCTGGGGGCGGATTGCAGTACCCATGATTGAGCTGTACCCGGCCACGGCCATCATATTTGTGGCTGGGCCAAGAGTGGAGGGCCGAGGGCCAGAGTTGGGTCTGAAAATGATTGGAAATGGGGGATTAACTCCTCAAATTTGAATGAATTTCATGGGGAAAGTCCTGATTAACCATGAGATTTTGGGGCCAATTTTCAGACAAACCCGTTTAGTCACTGAGTTTGACGTGGTGTGTTCTCTAGACGGGACACCTCCGAGAGCCCTAGATTCTTGTGGAATCAGTCGGGCCAGCCAAACATGGCTAGAGCGAAAACAGACAACGGAAGGGTCACCTCACATGGGAATAGCCCTTTTCTGCTTCAAGTGTTTGTTGGAATAATCATGAAAGCGCATGTTGCTTCGTCCAACGAAGTGGTTATGAACTTTTGGATATTTGATTTGTATTTGTTTGAAGCGTCGATTGATCAATGGAAACTGGACACACTGGGAATGTTTGACGGATATAGCGAGGCCTTCAATGATATCACAAATTCACGTCTACATCCTCTATCATATTGAATCATACTCTTCACTCTTCTATTTGTTCTTGGGACAAAGGACGGGGTAGCATATACAAAGAGCCAGCTGGAAGCCGAGTGCTTCTCATCTAAATGGATGAAGGGAAACATACCGGAATTCTATAGTTATAGCAGCCCCAAAATAGATAGCAAAGTGAGAAACCTGGAAACAATGTAAATTATCAGTGGCAACATCTTGGAAACACGTTTCCATCTTTTTGGGGACATGCAGCTACACGCCCTGACCTTCCAAACAGCCTTCCAAACATTGTTTTCTTAGAGATTTTAGCCTACCAAGGGTCAAGCATTGTTTCGGTCTTCCTGGAAACCCAGTTTGTATACATGTTTCCCATTGGTTTGCGGCATTTGCCCAAGCATGTCCAAACCCATCTATGGCTGCAGGCGGGTCGTTGCTCACCCTGGTTTTTGGAGTTTTGAACATGGTGGTTGCAGTGGCTCGGTGATCAAGCCAACAAAGCTAGCATCCGCCAGCCCAATCTTTAGTTGACCGCCGGAATTTGATGGTTTTGTGAGAACAAAATTGAAAAACAATCATTCAATGATATTCAATGTATCACTGAATATTTGCATTAGTTCCAAATTGAAGGGTTCCGATATTTGGTTTCTTGAGTGTTCTTTCAAGCGGCCACCAGTCAATCATTTTGGAATGGTTAGTGACGATTGGGAACCCTGGTCTCCAAATATGGTTTCTGCGAGGCAGTCATAATGAGCAATTGTTTGAGCATATGCTGCCAAGTGCGACCAGCTTTGCCAAGAGTCTTCTACATTGGCATTGGCCCATCTATATACTTCAACATTGTAAACTCAGCTACTCCATGCGAACATCCACAGGCAAAATAAACGTCAGAGGAAGGTATGCGTGAACATGAATGTTCGATCTGCAAAGACTGATCATTTGGACTGGTCATTTTGAGTCTAACCATAGAACAACAACTTGATTTGTGTATCTATGTTCCCGGTCCCCGGTTCCGCGCACCTCCCGCAGTGGTATGGTCCCATTCCGCCGCAAAAAAAAAAACACAACGTTGCCTTTGCACCCTATTTGCAGCATTTGAGAGCCAGATACTTCCTACAACACGTACGTACTACCTGTATACGACCTACGTGCTATCTATATAATAATTATGTGTATATATATATAGATATTTAACTTAGTAATATTTATGTGACTAACTATACAATATATGCATATATATTTACATATATATGAATATACATATGTATATCCATACTTATATACTTTAATTTGTATTTATGTGTGTATATATGATTTATATTTATACGTATGTTATGTACAACGAGCACAAATAGTGTAGCCATAGACTACTCATATGCTGCATCAACCGTCAAACCCCCCAACTCCCCCGCCACACCACAAGGGGGCACCCACATATACACACACATATATATATATATATCTATATACACTCGCATACTGAATATACTATACAACCGACACCCCCCTGCCAACCCACACCGCAGGGGGGGAGTGGGGGGGCCGGTGGAAGCTGGATGTACTCACCGAACTTCTGAGGTAGTTGTGGACTCCTTTGCGGAGAGCCGGCAGAAAGATTTGTTGCAATTGGCAGAAGAACTGGAGCACGAAAATGAACAGGACAAGAAGCATCTCGAAACTTGTCTTAGATGACCTTGTCATCATCGAAACACTGGTGAATCGGGAGGGAGTGGCAAGCTAAGCTATCGGCGTTTGACGACAGCATCCATATGGTGGGAACTTGGGTGCCGTCAGGGTCATTGTGACTGTTTGTTCATGTTTGTTCTTCAATGCTGAAATGATTTTTCGCCAATTTCCAGCCATTTCACGGTGACTCTGCTGGAATTGAATGATGATGTTGAGTCAAGTATAGCACTTTACGATATCCAAGACTTGTTTTCTCAATGAATCTTGATGTCCATTCTTGGTGAGTTCAATCGTCCAACTCCAGCCGCTATGACTGCTGATGATGATGATGATGACGATGATGATGATGATGACTTTGATAGTGATGACTTTGATAGTGATGACGAGGATTATATATATATATATATCGTTTTCGTTCATTATCATTGTTATTATGTCAATAGCCATATAGTAGCTACTAGACATTATTACTGCTATTGGGACTAAAGAAAGCAAACAGTGAGAAGTTAATGGCACTGCCAGAAATCGGGAAGGGGTTGCCCTGACCGATCCTGTTCATTTGCACTGGGATCTATGGGATGCTGTCGCTCTTTCGTACCACCTTGGCTGTTGGGGATACCGCCTGGGCTTATTTTGATCCAAAACATCTAAGAAATTTCTAGAAATATCACCTCCCCAATAATCCAATAATGACAAATACGCTGAGTGTCATGTGGAGGTTTCCTACCCCGAAATTATCTGAATTAGACAATTTAAGTATTGAAACCCATGGCTTTGGGAAGCGCCCATTTTAAGAAACTGTCAGGAAGAGATGTTCAATCGCTTGGATTCCAAAGCCAATGGAGATCTAACGCTGGAACAACTGGTGGATGGTGCCAAAACGGATCCGGATTTTCAGAGCAGGTTGCCACTTGGATAGTGCTGGGTGCTCGGACGGGACCCAGTGACCCAGGGAAGGTATGTGGGACCTTGGCCAGTTTTGACCGGATAAACATCAGTTGCATGCATGGGTTGTCATTGAACCAATTTTTGAGTGGAATGCACGGGAGGGATGTGAAAAGTGTAAAACCAGGACTGGATTTGGTATGTTGCACTGTGGTCAGTTGATATGGCGATATCGGAAACACGGACTACAATAGGTCAATTGTCTATGAATGGTGCAGGTCGTATGTTCACTTGTTGTTCGTTTATTGTGTACCAGTGGGCCTGTGCTCAACAACGAAGTCAAAGCCCACATTTCATGTGTTGTTTCACAAGATGGATCTGCGTGTAGACTGGCTGTATAAACGTGTGTACTCGTCTATGTTTGTGATTAGACGTCTGGAATTAGTTGATAAACCACCAAATCACCATTGGTTGACAGATCAAATGCCAATGTGTGAATTCTCAACCCAGCCTCTTTTAGTTGCTGTTCCTTTGGTTGTAACCCTTTTCCCCCAATCTCCAACAGCCAATGTTTAAACCTTGCACTCAATATTGGGATAAACATGGATGAAGCCCCTATTATGTGCTTGCCACACATTTGTCCCCTCCCAACGTCTACCGGTGATGTAGCCGTTCCGCTTCATCCTTCCAAGCTCTCAGGAGAGTCATGGACATTGATGAGGTGGCGTAGCCGTCGACTTGACAATGCCAAGTCGTTGGATGATTTGGTCAGAAATTGTAGGAGGAACCTAAACAGCTTGGCCATGTAATATTTCATCAACGGCATGTCATGGCAAAAAGAACTGAACAAAAAAAATGGCCATCAGTTCATGGAGGGCTATTCGATAGATTTCGATAGTAAGATCAACTCATAGATATTAATAGCATATCTGGCCCAAAATTATCTTACTTGTAGGATAGGTCAGGCTGGCCATGTGTTCGGTGAAAAATATTTTGCTTCAAGCGCTTCTGACGGGTTTGTGTTGGTTTCTGGGGCACCCCATTGAGCAATCCCCAGGGGCGCAGACCAGATTTAACCATGGAATTCCGTTAAATTTGTGGTTCAAAACATGACGTATACCATGGACTACTTGGATGTGCACCCTTTGTAAGTGCTTTGAAACCCATGCTTATTATATATACATTTATTTATTTAATATATATATATACATTCAATATTATATATATATTATATTTATATTTTAATTTTAGACAATCACACATATATATATATATATATACATTAGAGTTTATATTTAAATACCCCACATAACTAGGGCACAGGGGTACTATATTTGTTAACCAGTTGAATTGTAAACACCATGAAATCCAGATACATCGACCATACGCCACCTGGCACACAGGCCGACCTGGAACAACTCTTTCACATGATGCCGGGCAGCAATTTGCGATAGGCTCAACTGGTGACTGGTGACTGTTTTACGGTAAGTTTATGACTCAGCAATGATAGGGGTTATTAAGGATCAAATTTGCTTTTAAGCAGCAACCATGTGGTTTGTACCACTCACCGCTGAAAGGTTGCTGGAATTGCTGGACTTCTGACGATTCCCAGCTTTGGTAGCGTTTGGTTTATAAATTATGATATCCCATGATTACACACCAGTGACTCAGCAAGGTACAATCCCACAGTGACTGAGAACCCCAAGGGTGGTGAGTTTTAAAAAAAAGACTCCATCTCTAAGAGAAAGGATTTGTCTCATTCATGTGTTCTACCAACTTGGGGTTGCAGGTCCAGTTGTAAGTGGACATATATATATATATATGTATCTAATTATAGCATAAACATGATTAACCATACTTAGGCCCGAACTTCTGGGGCTCTGCCTGTAGGATTGATGCAGACATGAGTGGCGCCATCAACAAGGAGGACATCCCTATGAGATGGCATGGCCATCCGCCAAGAGATATGGAAGGTAGATCAAGTAGATCTTCATGAAATTATTGGTGGAATCTTTATGAGACCCCTGTGACCACCGTTCTACTTCTATACTACTCTCAGTTAAGAAACCCCACTAGTATGAAGAGCTTATGGGGATGGAGGTGCCATCATTGGGAGCCCCCCTAAAATCCATGGAAACTACTCGGGATTTCATGATCAAATCTCAAGCATCCCAAGCTTGTGTGGGATTAAATAGCACCCAAGTTGTTAATTATAATCCGGGTAAGGTAGGGTTTATTGCTGGGTTTGCCAACATATAATAAAATATACAGATACGATATGAATGTGTTCCTCCAACACAGGTAGATGTACAATATGTAGATTGGATATGTATGCCGATACTTGTGTTTAGCCAACGGCTATTCTAAGCAGCACTTCATCGTTGATTTGAAGTTGCCTCTCATTCTTGATTGTTGCCGACATTACACACATTTTTTATAGCCTTATCAAGCCTATGCTCCATATTCTAGAGAAAAACTGTATACACAAAGATGCCCATGTTTTGGCTAGTAACATGTTTCCATACATTACCCAATGTGAAACTATCTAAATGCCCATGCTGAAAGGCTTACATCAGTTGCTGGGTCCACCTTTCACCCAGTGAAGATTTGGAAATCGCGGTAGCGATATCATACCCCAAATATAAATGGAGAGTGTCATTGTTTTTGGGGTGTGGCAAGTTGCACGCCATGTTGGATATGTGACAAATCACAAATGATAATGATAGATATCGTGTTTACTCCCCACATACTAAGCTGTGTTTGTGCTTAACCTTCAATACATATCTAAATCCCCCAAAAACAACTGCAAGTGTCCGCTGCATTCCCGCACTTCCCAAGTCAACTCCTCACGTCCAGGAGTTTGTAGGGCCCTTGAGCCGTTGGATCGTAGATTCCAAGACAGCGCCCCGCTTCGTGAAGTACAACGTGGAGCGTGTGCTACATCAGCAGGCTGAGCTGTTGAAGCAGAACCAGCTGTAGCTTCACTGGGATGTCGAGGGAAGGGGGCGAAAACCTGCCCGTGGTATGCGTTGATCAATAAACATATCAAACATACAATATACCCGCTGGTATGTTAATAGATTGATATTATTATGTTAATAGATTAACATAACATCAATAACATACCTTGGTATACATGGTATAATTAATAGATTGCTATTATTATACCCGCTGGTATGAGACATGCTCATAGGTACCAACAGAACGGACATGTTTTTGCCCATTTTTGGCTGCTCAGGGGTAAATGTTGTTGGCAATTGCATGATGTGTTTATGCTTGGAATATGGGATCTATTATGGTCTGTGCAGTCAAACCTTTGATGCATCTAGTATTTAGTTTGACCACTTAGGATTGCTTTTTAGTTTGTCTGAAATAGGGCAACCCCAAAATGTCAAACCAATTGGATACACTCATTTTCCCTCCAAAAAGCCCATTCTGTATATCCCATTTTCAGACACACCCACTTAGCAATTTCTACATGTCCGGTAATGCATGCCATCTATGCCAACACTCCATTTTGCCGCCTGCACTGAAACTGCTTGCCGCCAATTCCAAGAAAAGAAAAACAACAGAAACGCATCTTAAACGCCTACTCTCTTGCCGGCCTCTTGGTTTTCGGCGCCCTTCAAAGTGAGACTAGAACCTGTGAGAGGAAACGTATCTTAAACGTCTGCTGTAGTCTGTACATACGTTGATCCAGGGCCGGAGCAGCCCACAGTTCTGCCACTTGGATTATTGAAAAGAAATAAGTTTCTTCCCAGCAGCCATGAACATGTTTTTTTTACAACACCATGCCTTTAGACAAAGCCGAACATGTGGCTTATTTCTGGTGGGGAATTGTGTTGGCCCCTAGTCACCCGAACGTCCTTGTGGCACAGGCAATTTAACCTCCTGGGTTCTCGCTTGGATGAGCTTTGTGAACAGTTGCTCCCTTTCCAAGGCGGCCAAGGGCGAGATTGGCCCTCCATGAAACACCCAGAAAGTGGGATCAAAACCATTGAGCTCCTTGAGATGATGGGCTGACCCCTTGCTGGGCAGATAGAATTATAACCGTTATAACCGTTATAACCACAAAATCGCACAAGACTCTATCAAGAATGCTTCCCGGGTCGTAAATATTCGCAAGCATTTCATTCTTAGGAAGTCTCAGGAGGCACCTATGGTCGCACCCAATGGTCCAAGTGCATTCGGGTTCCCATGTCTGGTCATTTTCACAAAGATGGCAAGTAATATGAGTCTGTGTTTTGCCCAGGAAGATTCCAATTATCAAACATGCCCTGCTGCCAATACATACTCTGAAGATGCGTTAAACTTTACTGAATTCTACCCATTGCGTTGAGGTTTTTGTAGCTGCTGAAAATTATCAGCTAGTGAGTGTGTCAAGCAGTGTCCTGTGGATGATCCATGCGTTACCTCAAAAGCTCAGGAATGGTGTTGGTAGGTAAATACTTCAGGAGGAACAAAGTTTTTGCTTCTTGAAAGCTTTACAAAACATCCATTTCGGTCAACCGCGGATCACATTTTCAAGTCCGTTTTGTGTGGCAGGTGTGGGACGGTCAATTATCACCCTCTTTTAAATATATAAGATTTTAAAGCTTTTGGAGGGTGGGAATGCGACCGGGGTACGACAAAGCTCCATGCTAGGATTCTACGGGGAAAGGGTGTGCAGAAGAAGAAACCAACCATGTTCACTGTGGGAAGCTCAACAAGCGCAACTTTTGTCCTACCAGTGCGTCACGGCACATGTGTAGCAGTGCAGACAAAGAGGATGGAGACAGGCATGTTATGTGGAGTAATGACCAAGCTGAAGCAGGTGCAAAAATCAGCAAATGACTTGGCAATCCCCACTCAATAAGCTTTTTGTACCCTTCAGGAGGAACAAAGTTTATGCTTCTTGAAAGCTTTACAAAACATCCATTTCGGTCAACCGCGGATCACATTTTCAAGTCCGTTTTGTGTGGCAGGTGTGGGACGGTCAATTATCACCCTCTTTTAAATATATAAGATTTTAAAGCTTTTGGAGGGTGGGAATGCGACCGGGGTACGACAAAGCTCCATGCTAGGATTCTACGGGGAAAGGGTGTGCAGAAGAAGAAACCAACCATGTTCACTGTGGGAAGCTCAACAAGCGCAACTTTTGTCCTACCAGTGTATACCATAGATGAATGGTATGGGAAGGATTGCGAAGGTAGTAGTTTGATATATTTCAGTATATAATGTTCAGCAGATCTGGCTAGATGATGCTAAGATTAGATATTTCATCTAGCTGAACTACCGCAAGGTTGGGTTAGGGGATTCCGCTATACCCTTCAAAAATTAACATGGAACCCCAACACAAGCATTTAGGGTTGGAAGATCCCTTTTTCTTTTGAAATATAGGCATTCGGTGCCATTCCTGGGTTTCCATCCATGGTCAATTTACATCAATTTACTGGGATGGGCAATGGGATTATCTAACTGGTTAATAACTGGGTTACCAGTAGTACCGCACAAGGCGGTGGCGGAAGTTTCAGAATAGGAAACCTATAGGAGACGTTGGTTGTTGTGAATCACGGATGGCAGAGCGAATCCACTGATTGACCGAAAGGTGGTTGGAGTTGTGTTTGCTGGAATGGTTGCAATGGTTGCAGTGGTCACCTCACCCACAACTGCTGGATGTAGTGTGATGTACTGCAACTGTAGTTGTAGTTGTAGCGTAGTGGAGTTGTAGTTGTGGGGTAATGTAATTAGTGTAGTGTAGTTGCAGTCATATAGTTGCGGACGTAGTTGTTTTGTAGTTGTAGTTGTTGTAGTTGTTGCTGTTGTAGTTGTAGCTGTAGTTGCTGTGTGGTTGTAGTTGTTGTGTGGTTGTAGTTGTTGTGTAGTGTAGGTGTAGTAGTAGAAGTAGTAGAAGTAGTAGTAGTAGTAGTAGTTGTTGTTGTTGTTGTTGATGTAGTTGTTGTAGTTGTTGTAGTTGTAGTTGTTGTTGTTGCTGTAGTAGTAGTAGTAGTAGTAGTAGTAGTAGTTGTTGTTGTTGTTGTTGTAGCTGTAGTTGTTGTAGTTGTAGTTCTAGTTGTAGTTGTTGTTGTTGTTGTGTAGTTGTAGTTGTTGTTGTTGCTGTTGTTGTTGCTGTTGTTGTTGTAGTTCTAGTTGTAGTTGTCGTGTAGTTGTTGTAGTTGTAGTTGCTGTAGTTGTTGTAGTTGTTGTGGTTGGTGTTGTTGTTGTTGTTGTGGTTGGTGTTGTTGTTGTTGTTGTTGTTGCTGTTGCTGCTGTCGTCGAAGTTAGGGTAGTGAAGTTAGTTAAGTTAGTCAAGTTAGTTAAGTTAATCAATGTCTACTTTTTCGACATCTTCACGTCAAAAAAGGCTCAAAACCTGCGTTTTTTTTACACTTTTGACTTCGAAATGTGCTTCGCGCCACAACGGCGTGCACTTTTTCGACATCTCAACTTCCAAAAGTGGTCCGAACCTGGTGTGTTTTGTACATTTTGACTTGGAAATGTGCTTCGCGCCACACCGGCGTGCACTTTTTCGACATCTCAACTTCCAAAAGTGGTCCGAACCTGGTGTGCTTTGTACATTTTGACTTGGAAATGTGCTTCGCGCCACAACGGCGTGCACTTTTTCGACATCTCAACTTCCAAAAGTGGTCCGGACCCCTAGTGTTTTGTACCTTTTGACTTGGAAATGTGCTTCGCGCCACAACGGCGTGCAATTTTTCATCGCTCCTGTGACCAGCTGGCTCCGCACCCGCCGCTTTAGCGAGCCTACTTTTCGACCCTCCTGAGCCACAAATCATTGGAAAAACACAGTGTTTCGCGACTTTCCTACCTTTTCGCGCATCTGTATCTTCTTTCTTCTGACTCTTTCTCTTCTCATCTTCTCTCTTCTAATCTTCCTCTTCTCTCTGCCTCTCCCCTACTCTGCTTTTCATCTGTCCATATTGTCGGAAGTTTGACTTCTAAACTTCCTTCGATAAACCGTTCTATCCCAATTGCAATCCATTGGCTAGCTAGTCAACTAACTCAATGGTCCATCTAAGTACTGGTTTGTGGTTTCAAATACCTTTTCTTTTCAAGGAAATGGAATCATGATCCCACATGACAAGCATATGTTTTCACGGTTGAAAGTTGAAACCAACACCCAGTGGTAAGTTGGATTATAACCCCCCGACAACTAATTGTAGATATTGTTAGATCTTTTTGCCACAAGCCCTGATTAGCCTATAGTCTTATACTTATAGTTACTATGTTGTAAAGGAACTCAGCTAATGATCTGGCACCAGATTGTGGTTTCCATTTGAAATTTCGGTGGTGTACCCCTTGTCTTCTCAGGTGAGGTGCTGGGGATAGCGAATGTAGCGCGCCCGGCCCTCACGGACGTCGCGTACGAGCCGAGCTCCAGTGAACTTGACGTCGAACAACCGAAGGAGTGCCATGGTGGCAACCAGGGGGATCCCTTCCCTCCTAATCCTGATATATTTAATACCAAACGGAACAGATTCAATACCATGTTTTCTGTTTTCACTTGCCTTTGCTTAGCTGAACTCTTCGAGAAGGCGATGGAGAGAGAGGATACATAGCATTTTTTGTAAATGTGTGATGTATGGAATCATTAATAGTAGTTTCCGTGCAAAAAAGGGAATTAAGGCCCTAATCACAATCTCTTGACCATGCTTGACCCCTTCTAGCGATACAAGGCCTTGGGGGAGATGGGTAGGATTTGGTATTTTGTCAAACAGATCCAAAGATAAAGATTTGTTGATACCCATGAGTGAGTTATAATTTAATTCCAAAAATAAATGTGAGTATGGCCAACCAGATGGACACAGGATGAAATGCTATTGAAGTGTGTGTTTAGTTTTTTTGACAATGAAACAAACCTAACAGAGCCTAGTTTTGAAGCACACAAGAAAATGATTGAAGCAAAAAACGTTGGATTTGTAAAGGTGAACTCATTATATAGAGGCTAACGCCCCCTGTCGCCCACTTACTCCGCTGGGCCACATGCTCGTCCTCAGCGTGCTAGCTGAACCTGATATCATTGGGGAGGCTTTAGCCTAAGGTGATACGAATGATGATACGATGATCTATGGGGCTTCCCACCTGAAACTACTCAACTAGAAACGCAAATTTGACGAACTGGCAGACAGGCTGTCAAGTAGAAACTCATTGAAGATGTTGTGAAGTATCAACACATGTCGGAAATACTGTTTTATTAAGTGGACATGGGGACAACATGGTTAATTAGGATGCAAGGAGGTGTAAATGGGTATGAGACAACACTCCGGACCCATCCCAGCAAAACCAATTTTGCATTTCAGTTCTGACATGCTGAAACGCGTTGGGACTCCTGGGACTCCCAGTCCCGTTGGGAATTCAAATAAAGCAACCCTTAAATTCAAAAAAAACGGTTCTAAAATGATCAAAAAAAACTCGCCAAGTTTGTGCTGTGCCCCAGGTCCAGCAGTGATGCTTCCCTGCTGGTCTCACCCCGCAGCTCCCATGGCAAGCTCGTGCGTCCACCTGACCCGGCTTCGCTTGGTGGTGAGCATCGACGAAGCAACATAAGCAATGGCGGCGGGACAACCTTGGACCGGACCAAAGCCATTTGATGTTTTTTTGCATTGGCCCGGCCCGCAATGTCGTTGAGCCATATTTCGTTCTCAGAATTCTTGATCATGCGGTGCCTATAGCAGCTTAACAGCGCTGTTGATGCACTGCAATCATAAAAAGGGTGGGTCAAACATGGTCGAACTGCGAGGCCACGGAGCCTTGTTGCCATTTTTCTTGGGTTCTTGGGACTGCCCATTTTGATCATGTTTGACCCATGTATTTTATCCTTGGTCAACGGCGCCAATGCTTGAAGCATTGGAGCTTGGCGGACGAAGAATGTCTGAAAAGGGCTGTGCAGCTAATGGTTTATGAGGATTCCAGGCTGACCGGAGGCGGTCAGTTTGGGAGAGAATTTGGGCTTTCATCTACGTCTCAGTGTATGACTGAATGGTTGTGGGGTTTGATCTCAAACTTAGAAGAGCGAAAAACATGCATCGGCTGCAGTAGTCTGAACAGGTTGTTTTTAAACACTCATGTGATCTTATGTGTATGTTCCATCCTAATTGGGATGATGATGGCAAGATTGTTGCTGCAATAGTACGCAGATATGATGTCGTTTTATCGACCGTATATCCTTTACTATGTAATTACTGTATATCCTTTACATTGCAAACACATCCCAACCAGCAACCAGCGAAGGTCGGTAAGGGACTTAATGCTATGATATGCTATGACAATCTTAGCTTGTCCCGGGTGGTTGATATGGTTGGGGTGAGCAAGCGACAAACGATGACAAACGGACATGAACCTCATCATAAGTCTCATGAGTATTTGCTATTGATAGCTATTATTTGCTGCATAAATTGCTCCGACGTCCGTCACCATGAAGGCAACAGGGATACCAGTGAACCCCCTGGTTTTTCCATGGCCAAGTCACCAATGCGGCGATGGATTGATCCTGTCTCAGGCTGTTCCTGCCCCCGCGCGTGCTGAAGGAGACGGGAAATGACAAGCACATGCAGAATGTCAAAGAGGTTACCAGAAATAAGTGGTAAAAATGGTAAAATAGTCAGAGAATGTTTAACAGTTGATCTGGTTTGAATATGTTCGAAAAAGGCTGAATTAATTCATTTTCTCATACATTTTCTCATTTTTGGGGTAAAGATAAGCGCAGATGGGTAAACTGTTTAGGTCTGGCACCATCCGTTGCGCCAGGCCCGAAAGCGAGATCCAAATCATTGGGCGCAGCCAAAGAACGGTGACTCGACATGACTCGACATTGAAAATTGAGGCAGTTCATGGCAGTTCCAAAAAATTCCTGTGGATTTTCAGGGGGTAAGTTACTGTGGGTTTTTTGGAGGTTGAACGTGGACGCACCAAGACTATCAAAAGTGGCGAGTTTGTGCTCCAAACGACACTCTTATTTTCAGACAGTGAGTCAATGGCTGGTAGCTTTCAACCCCAGAAATGTTCTTGCAATTTGATCTCCGGAATAAAAACACCCCCATTGTATGGTCCCAAATATGTGTAGATCATTGTAGATCATTGTGAACCCGTTACATCCACCATGGTTTCTGGGTGGTGTTTAATAATTTACTGTAATATCAGGGGGAATGGGATGAAAAGAGCTTGCATCACACCCTGCTGCGGGTTGACTGGAAGACGGAAGAAGGTTTTAAATTTGCATGTCAATGGGAGTTCCCCATTGACAATGGAGGTTTCATAGGAAAAAATACCCACAAATGAAGGAATGTGCATGGCCATGGTTGATTACCAAATGGTAAACTGACCAAATTATGTCACTACACCATTTTAGATGTTGATCATAATCAGGCTAAAATTCAGATTTGAGGGACATTATGTCGACCTCATATGCACTGTATGGTATGTAATGCAGCCATTCATGGGGGCAATTTGTTTCTCATCGCGGACAGGGGACAACGCTGCAAAACTGCAAAATCAACTAATCAGCTCCTGTAAAACAGAACATGACAGTTTGGAGTGGCGAGACAAATCTGGCCATCTGGCTGCATTTGAAGCCAAATTGCTGCCCCGCTTTTTTTTTCTGCTGCTAAGCTTAATGATCGTCACCATGCTGCCATGCGGCACTGGCTCAGTGTAGCTGGACATGAAGACAAAGCCCCAGGAGAAAATGGATGGTATAATTTAATTTATAGACATGTAATGGTATGAAGCCAGGGAATCTTTCGAATCCAACTGAAAATGCTGAAATAGATTGAAATAGAGCCCGTGTTTGGGCGCAGGGTATCCAGATGGGCTAGTAAGACCGCACCATACCAGATCTGGAAGCAGTGAGCTCGTTTATTTTCTGGATTGAGAAGACTTTTGGCACCCAAACCATCGCGCCATCTTTGGTGATCCAATCCTCAAAAAGAAGGAGCATTATATGTGCTTCAACATCTCCGAATTTTGTGGATCATTGAAAAGAACACGACAGTTTCACCGTTTCACCCATTCTTAGCTGTAACATGCCATACTGTAAATCAATGCATGATGATTAAACAACAACTTATTTAATCAAAGGCACTTTTTTGACCACCATGCCCCACCGTTGCCGTGGCGTTTGCTTCTTGCTTGCATGTCTTTGGTGCTGCCACCCCTGGAGTTTCACCGCGCCAAAGGGGGCGCCGCCGGCACCGTCGCTGAAGACCTTGTGGGATGGGCTTTGGGATCGAGCCGTGCCGGTGGGTGAAGATGACAGCAACATCGGTGCCGAGGGCCGAGCTAAAACGCTGCGGGGTTATCCTAAAATTCGCTGGGGATATGATGGAAGTATATCGATTCTATCAGTAATATTATGAGATATTGGCATAGAATAACATATATACATAACCAACCAGGTGATTGTCATTGATCATTGATTATCCCAATCTTCTTCCAGAGGGCTGTTTGCAAACGAACAATAGAACCCTTAAATGCCTATTTCCATGGGGGAGAATGGTGCTAAACCATCAAATATTGAGACATATTGAGACACCGTATTTTCAGGCAAAACCAATCAAACCCGTATCTTCGCTTCTGAGGACATTGTTTTGGTAGGGGGAACGAAAGGAGAATGTGAAGCACAATATTGAGACTGCCAGATACCGGATTGGAGCTGGTGCAAGCAAGCGTGGGGTGCTCTGATCAATTGTTGCGATGGTTACTGTATATGCACACAGATTTATATATATATAATAACAATAATCAAAAAATAATAAGAAGAAGAATAATAATAAAAATAAATAATCATAAGAATAATAATAGTAATAATAATAGGAATAATAATCATCACCATCATAATAATAATATATATAATTATATATATATATGTAAAATGAATATTTTACAGTTTATAAATGTACAGTGTATATATATATAATATAAATCACATATACACAGCAATCAAAATAGTTTCGTATGTGTTCTTTTTGAGGACCGGTTAGTACCAACAGAGGTGCCAACGACGTGTTGCGATCCTTCAAGAGAACTTTGGACGAGGATTTGTTTCAAGAGGTGGAAATGGATGGGGTGCCGGTGTCCTCAAGCACTGTGACAGGCCGGGAAGTGGGACCATGGTCAGTAGGGACCTGGATGCACCAATCGACATGTCGAGTGTTCAATGCTTCGGCCGCCGATCCCCATGATTAAAGTAGGATGTGTTGGATGACATTCCTACGGCACAATCTTTTGGTATCTGGGCTCACACAACATATCCAACGCGGATGTTTGCGGTTTAAAATTGTTTAAATAGCATGTTTAAAAATATGTTTATAATATACACACTATATATTATTGTTATTATTGCTATTGTTGGTTATTGTTGTTGTTGTTGTTGTGGTGTTGTTTCAACATATTTTAGCTACTACTATAAAGTTCTATGAGATTATATCTACCCGGAAAGCCTAGTGCCCATTGTTTTGGTCACTGGATACCATTTTAGGAGTAGGATTTCGACGGGTATTTACCGTATTTTACGGATATGCACGGCACTTTCACTGTCATTTTTGGAGCAAAAGATGAAGTGTTTTTTTTGGTGTGAGAATTGCAAAGTGCCACACATATGGGCTACTAGGCCAAAGTAACATGAAACAACAGGTACTGGCACGGCTTTCCAGGTATATAATTGTATAACATATTTTCCATCCTGACTGGAATTGCATCAGCTTGAAAAAACTCCAGGCAGCAACTTTTTCGAGAAGCAGATGGAGGCATCTTGTCTCAGCTGAGCGTCTGATTTTCCCATTTATATTTATGACAACACCATTTGAGGAAGTAATTCCATACCTATCTATCTAAGTGGAGTATTTTAGGGAGTATTCACCCTAAGTGGACTATGCCATCCACAATAATTCTATAATTCTAAAGGCAACATTCCCATATTCAGAAAATCTTCGCATACCAAATTGTCATCATACTCCAGACCTGGGTTTTGGTATGTTACTCTATTTTGGCTCAATGTGAAGGGAATGGTTTGGCGTGTGAAAATTTGAATGGTGTGAAAACAAAATACAAAAAACACTGGTGTGTTTGTCGAGGTTTGGGCTGAGATTTGGAATTGAATTTTTGGCCGTCTCTATTGGCCCTTCTAGGCACGCATACTCAAAAATTCTTCTTTGCACTCGGAAAGGACCTGCGCACTCCACAGGCGTCATCACACTCCACAGGTGTCATCGCATTCACCACACATATTCTTGGTTTTCAAAGAATAGTGGCGAACTTTACCAAGTCCAATGATGATGACTTGGCACAACGGCGCAGGTTCACACGCCGGAATCAGAAAGAGCAATGCCAGACACCGACAATTTAGAGTTATCAGATGCACGCACCATCGAGTTTCAATCCGACACGCCTTTCTTACACCCGAAAGGTGGCAAGCAACACCTGGCAAACCCTGGCGAAGCAACAACGGCAATTGTGGACCTTACAGAGGTCCACTCCACATATGGATAGAAAACATCAACTCAAGGCACAGAAGACTTCGCCAAAGTCTCACAGCAAGGCGCAACTCAAGTCCAAAACAACTGCGGCCGCGGCCTGGTGGTTTCGCAAAACCAAGCAAACCAGCCAGAAATTTCTGTAAACAACCCATACAGTGGATACGCAAAGAGTGCATTGACACTGATCAGCACTATTTCGTCCGAACCACCAATTTGGCAAACCAAAGACAGCTTCCCTTAGCACTCCGCCTGCGGGGGTTCATGCTTGGGCCTTGGGATGCCTGAGGTACACCAACGGTACCCGGCCACCACCCACACGCACCAACCGCTTGGCAGCCTTTTGGCATTCCAAACTGTCGGAGAGAAGATGATATCACCAGCACTCTCATGGGAGCAAATTGGACCGAAGCCAAGGTCCTCGCACCATCATCAGGGCCATACCACCAAGTACATGCACAGGAAATGTGATTGGTGAGTTCACAGGGGAACACATTTTCACATTATTTCACCTTTTTCCAAAGCATCAAGAATTCCTGAAATTCTGGACACAATAGATCGAAAAACTGGAACCTGGCGGAAGAACACTACTGAGGAACAAACAACCGAGGACACAGAAGTTGCCCAAACACAAATGGACACGCAAGAAAGCCAAGAAAATACCACTGAAGGAGATGAGAAACTGGAGGGATCCCGTAAAAAAAAATTGCAGGATGTTCTGCAAGGTTTTCAAACCTTGGAATGTGGGGGTGGGGGGTTTATCGTGTGGCTAAACAGCATGCGGTTGCATACTTCATCGCCAGCAATCCAGAAACATTCAAAAGTAAGTACCTCACAGCATTGCGATGGGGAAAACACTTGTCAAAGCCCGCGTTGAAAAACACAGGAAAACTATGAACCAAGCTGGGCGCTCGACCCACGATGGTCGGTCACTACAGAAGGAGGAGCACCCACAGACAATGTTAGCAGGCTACAATTTTGTGGGAAGACATTGCTTGACCGCGGCAGGCTTGGTACCCCAACAGTATATATGGACGATAGAAGCTGGACCACTGATGACCTTGATTTTTTGGTCCAAACTTTGCAAGCATGGTACCATTTTAGATCATTTTAGCACAATGACAGGAATGAGTGAGGCTATTAGCAAAACGCAAATCACCTTCAAGGACGAAGCGCCCGAAGCGCATAGCAATTTCCTTTTACCTCCACTTCTTCACATCCAACACGTCACCAATCAGTGACTGAGTTAGCTTTTGCGTTAGGCTCATGCACGGTGGGTCCATCACCTGAACGCCTTCTTGATAGAGAACATCAGCGAATCAGTGAAGCTACAGCTACATGTGGACGGATGCCATTTCTTCCAACAACGCGCAATATCAAAATGAAATCTGCCAGAATCATGGCTGTTTCTAAAGCATAATACGGCTGGGTTGGCCATTCACCTTCCAAGCCCATATGGCTGATTCTCTTTACAGCGCGGTGTCCAGTAGTAGTTCGGCATTCAAAGATGGCCCACCTATTTTGCACAGACTTTTGTATCGCGGCGCTCATATGTTTCTTGATATAGTGGTCAGTTGCAAAACATTTTTCTTTTGCAATGCTGAACAGCGGATACCGGCAAGCAGTTTGCTAGCTATTATTGATTATTATTGCACACATGTTTTTGACCAGCACAGGCTGGATGTCTCAGAATCGAGAGGAGAAATGGCACCATGCACAGCTTGCTTTGGCTTGGGAAATCCAAGATTTTTGAGTCAAAGTACAGGATCGGGCACTACATTCGAGAAGGATGCATGGAGACATGCACAATGGGCAAAACTTCAGAATAGCACACGCGGAGATTCTTTCCTTTTCAGCTCTCTCCCTCCCTATGACTCGCGCAGAGTCACTTTGGTGAGGAACCTGGTTGCTAAAGCATATATTATAAGGAATTGTTCTTTCAGTTCTGATTGGCTCTTGGGTCAACCCAGCACCCTCCACAAGCGCGAAAACATCCGTCGCCAAATGACACACTGCTGTTGCATGGTGTGAGGAAGAAGTGGTAGACACTACGTACATGTTCTCGGCCTGCCCTCACACACGGTGAAGCAGAAGACGACCTCCAAGCAAGGTTTGGATGGCCAAACTTTGAGACGGAGGAGTCCATAAGCAAAATGACTGCGATGGCAAGCACAGAGGAAGCAGTGTGGCTTGCTCGCCTTGCCACGCCTTCAGCATGGACCAGAAAGATCTACAATCCCAACACCCCCAGTCTGGCTGTGACACGGGACCGGAACTTCCACAATTCTGCACAGGAGGCCTGATGGTCCCTTTAGTGCTGCTCTCCACCTTGAGGCAGCACATCTTCAACCGAGACACTCACATATTTCTGGAATATGGGGAAGATGGAATTCCCACCTGAAACCTTTGAAGTTTCACATACAATCGCGTTCCATGAAAATCTGGTTCTTTTGATCTCATGGATGATTTTTCCATTTTTTAAGCACTCCAGCAGGGTCGGCGGGGCCAAGTGTGAAACTGTTCTGGTGTGCAAAAACTGTTTTGAATGGCGTAGGGTCCATTGGGAAGGTGTCAAGGGGCCACACATATTGTTTTTTTTTGGCATGCCTGAAAACTATTTCAAACTTGTGCTGAAAGAAAGGATCTTTTTGGGGTAGGAATAACTGGCTATATTAAGTGGGATGATCAAGATTGGGGGGAACGGATTAACCATCAATAACCCTGACCAGACGCACCATACTGTTAAGTTAAAACTGTTTAGTACTTAGTAATACTCATACTAATACTTGGTACAGTAAGATTCACATACAATATACATCTTGTCATGACAATAGCGTTGGCCCTATCTCCTGGTGGCAACTGCCATGGCTGAGGTTTTTAAGGAAAATGGTCCTGCCGTGGTCTCCAACTTCGGGCCCTTGAAGACTCTCAGCATCTCTGATCCCATGATGATCAAGAAGCTTGGCGTTTGGGGTGGTAAACATTTTTTGGGGAGATGAATGCCCATGATTCCCCCATGGTATATCTTGACATTAGCTTCCAAATAACAGGGGTTTGAACCGGCAAAATCCATGGCGTTTGACCATCAACAAAGATCTGGGCTGGCCCAAATTTCCCCATGCACAAGAAAACATGGAAACATGTGAATGATGCAACCATTGCCGATTTGCATTCCCAAACGCACACAAGAATCAATGCCTTGTGGATCTTTAACCCGTATTTGCCTAAATCTTGAGATATGGAATGATATGAACTTTTCAATCATGCAACACGTCTAAGTACCACAGTTTCCAGTTTCCATCTTTGGATTATTCCCGAATGCGTAGCGAAGGGTTATCGTTTTACTTTGGGGGTCTGTGTTTGCTCGACCACGCTTCTGCAACTGCAACCATTCGCAACCGTCGGCAACCGTTGGCGAGCGATCGCGATGGGGTCACTATGGCCGTGCCTATGGCGAGTCCTGCAAAAGTGGTTCTTGTTCGCGGTTTGAAACGTCGCGTAGCTTCGTTTCACGTGGCAGGCGTGGTACTTTGTCACATTCCAACATATGTTTCATAATATCATAGCGGGTCGAAAGCCGTTTTGTGTTGCAGGCGCTATACTTTTGCATCGTTTGCAGAAGATGAGTTGCGTTTTCCATGGCAAGCGCAGCACTTTGGAGACCTCCATCCTCATTTTGCGTGGCAGGCACAACACTTCAGACGCGTTGTGTTGCGTGTCTTTGGCTAATCCCCATGTCAGGGCTGCGTGAAGTGGTGACAAGGTGCAAATTCCGTGGCAGGCGTGGCATTTTGTGAGATGTGATGAGAATTTACGGAAGCCTCGCACGAAACATCAATTTTGAGGTATATCAAATTTGAGGTTCATGAGAAAACTCGTCGGAAAATGACAATTTTAAAGCGAAAGTTTGAAAATTGGAGGAAATCTCGCACGATATGCTCGTTTTGAGGCTCCAACATGTCTCGTCTTGATGCTCTGGTTTTCTTTTGCCGTCGCCGTGTCTGTCGGGGAAGCTGCAAGAGTTTTCCTTGTCGATGGCGTCAAAGCAGGTTGTGATTCGTTTTGCGTGGCAGGTGTGGCATTTCCTGACATTCTCACGTGTCTGCAAAAGCGTTGAAAGTCGTTTTTTGTGGCAGGTGCAATACTTTTGCATCGTTTGCAGAAGATGAGTTGCAGTTTTCGTGCCAGGCGCTGCACTTTGGCTGTGTCCATCGTCATTTTGCGTGGCAGGCGCAGCACTTCAGATGTGTCGTGTTGCGTGTTTTTACGAATCGTATTGTCAGGGCGGCGTGAAGTGGTAACAAGGTGCAAATTCCGTGGCAGGCGTGGGGCATCCTGAGAGTCCCCTTTTGCATGGCAGGCGCCGCATTTGGTGAAGATCTGTCGTGTGTGGGATGCTCTTTTGCGGCAGGCGCAGGATTGAACGCACTTTACACTCCACACTCCACACTCTACGCTTCACACTCCACACTCTACACTTTACACTTTACACTCCACACTTTACACTTTACACTCCGCACTCCACACTTTACACTCCCCACTCCACACTCTACACTGCACACTCCACACTTTACATTTTACACTCCACACTTTACATTCCACTTTTCACTTTACAGTTGACACTTCACACCCTACACTTTACACTCTACACTCTACACTTTACACTCCACACTTCGCGCTTTACACTCCACACTTGACACTCCACACTACATTCCACACTTTACACTCCACACTCCACACTTCACACTCCACACTTTACACTCTACACTTTACACTCTACACTTTCCACTTTCCACTCCACACTCCACACTCCACACTTTACACTTCACACTTTACACTCCACGCTCCACACTTTACACTCCAAACTCCACACTTCACATACACTCTACACTTTCAACTCTACACTTCACACTCCATACTCCATAGCTTACACTTTACACTCCACACTTTACACTTTACACTCTACACTTCGCACTGTACACTTTACACTCTGCACTTCCCTACGCTACTCTACACTACTCTATGCTTTGCACTCCACACATTTCACTCCACACTTCACTCTCCACATTCCATTCTTTACACTTTACACTCTGCACTCTACACTCCACACTCTACACCTTACACTCCGCACTCTGCACTTTACACTCTACACTCTGCACTCTACACTTAACACTCCACACTTGACACTTTACACTCTACACTCGACGCTTTACACCTTTCGCTTTACACTTTGCACTGCGCACTCTCCACTTCACATTTTCCACCCCATTTTCCACTTTTCACTTCACACTATGCACCCCATACTTTACACTCCGCACGTCACACTGCACACTCCACACTTTACACTTCACACTCCGCACTCTACACTCCACACTTTACACCTTACACTCCACACCCTAGACTTTAAACTCTCCACTTCACACTCCACACTGTGCGCTTCCACTCTTCACTTTACACTCTACACTCCACACTTTACACTTCACACTTTACACTCCACGCTCCACACTTTACACTCCACACTCCACACTTTACATTTTACACTCTCACTGCGCACTTTATATACCCCACACTCTGCACTTTACATTGTACACTTCACACGTCAGACTCCACACTTTAGACTTCACACTTTCCACCCCACACTTTACACTTTACACTCCGAACTCTACAGCCGACTCCACACTCTACACTTTGCACTTTAAACTCCACACTTCACAGTTCACATTCCACACTTTACACTCCACACTCCATACTTTACACTCCACACTCCAAACTCTTGACTTCACACTCCATACTCTACACTTTACACCCCACACTCTACACTCCGCACTTTACACTCCTCCCTCCACACTTTACACTCCACACTTTGCACTCCACACTCCACACTTTACACTCCACACTTTACACTTTACACGCCACACTTTACACTCCACACTTTACACTTTACGCTCCACACTCTACACTTTACACTCCAGACCGCACTTCACACTTTACACTCCACACTCCATACTTTACACTTTACACTTTGCACTCCACACTCTACAATCCACACTTTACACCTTATACTCCACACCCTGGACTGTACTCTCTACACTCTACACTTTACACTCCACACTTTACACTCCACACTTTACACCTGTCACTTTACACTTTGCACTCCACACTCTACACTTCACACTTTCCACCCCACACTTTACATTTACACTCCACAATCCCCACTTCACACTTTACACACTACATTCTCCACTCAACATTCCACTTTCTTCAGACTCGACACTTGGTACTCCAACCCCTTCCACATTCCACTCTCTACAGTGCACTGGTACGGTAACAGGGGAAAATTGGTAAAATGCACAAGACTGTTCAAAAACTTGTTTCACAAAAGTGTTTACGTGACAGCGTTCGAGTTTTTTGGTTTCTCTTGTTCTTAAAACTATTTTAAACACCATGTTTTCTTTCCTGCCAAAAAAAACATCAATCCTTCTACGTCCTGCCCACCTGAAAGGCACGCCCTGGGCCAGCGGGGCAGCTTCGGCAAGGGGCTGCTGGCGCTTGTGGCGGAGGACATTTTTGGAAAGGCGCTGATCACGGCCTCCGCGCCATGGCATCCACGGGGCCGGGGCTGATTTCACCACGAACAGCTGATCCATAGTGGTTCAGAGGGTGCGATGACGAGAGGGTATCCCATATGTATCCATATTCCCGATTCAACCGGGGTAGAAACGGAGGAGAGGAGCTACTGAGAGTTTCCCGACCGCATGATGGTAGCTTTTGGTCCGAGGATTTTAGGGTAACTCCCCCAAAATCCAGTGGTTGATCATGACTTTCCTCATCAAAAAAGCCATATGGGGCTCATCAAACGATGAGATTGAAGATTGTTTAATCATCAAGAATTGCGATCGAACTATGAGAATGTGAGGCTAGACTGGTGATGGGCAGTTTCTATCAGTTTGGAGTATTTGGTAGATTTTGACTGACGAACCCATTAAAAAACAACAAAATACATCAAAATACCGTTTTTTTTTTTGAGGGTTGTCATCCTGTGACCATTTCTTGTCACGGATGCCTGGTAGTTTTTTCGACCTCCCTAGTGGCGAAGATCAGGTCCCGGCGTAGGATGACATCCAGGCCGTGAAGTCCATCCAAGGTAGTAGGCTTGCCATTTGATCACATGGTTTGCCATTTGATGACATGGTTTGGGGGTTCAGATGTTAGATGATTTTAGTATGACCTTCCGGTGTCATCAAAACATGGTTGCTGGAACATCCACGAAAATCCAGCATTTTATAGATGATATTCCCATGAAAGCTTCCATTTATACGGGATGCCCCGGCTAGCTATGATTGTTTCCCAAGGACCCGGAGCTTTGGCAGAGCAGAAGGGCAGCCACAAGTGCAGGCGGAGATGGGAATGGAGGGCGGCCACAAGTGGCGTGCTGCAAATTTGCAACTGGTAATCAATAAAAAATAATGTTTAGTGTTAAAAGTTAAAAGTTTATCATTAGATAAGTTTAGAGAATATAGTATAATTTAATTTAATTTTAATTAATGCATATAACATAATGTAAGGTAATATAATACCATATAAAAGTGTATATTTATAAGAACTTAACATCTGATATAACATGTTATCATCTGATTTCATATGATATGAACAATTTGATACAATGTGTTGTAATATTACTGTAATAAAAATATCAAACATCATCAAGCATACTTTGATATAATATGATATAAAATGTTTATACTTATGTTTTGGCATTTATGTGTATATATATATATATTTATACTCATATCAATGGCTGCGTGGCCAGGATTTCATTCCCAGTGGCTGCGTAGTCTGACGGCGGACTTTGTGAATTGCACCGTGCCCCGGACAGAACGGCTCGTTTGTTGCACTGGAAGCTGTGCTGCTCCTGGGGTGTGTGTGTGTGGATATTCTCCAGTAATTTGAGAGTTTGCTATATGGAAAATGAATGAACATGGCCTGTTTATAGATGATTTACTACCAAAAACGGTGATTTTCCATGGCGAACTCTTATAGCCATTACCAAAAGGTGAGGCAATGAGAAACAGGGACGAGTTCACCCGCAAAACAGGCATGGGCTCAAATTTCCCTGAGAAAGGACCCCTAAATGAAGAGATCAAATCCCAAACCAGTGTTTCGTTTGCGTGCTATTTGATATTGGAAGGGATTTTATTGAACATCTATAAGTGCTACAAGTAAGTATTCAATCTATAGGTCCTCAAGATTTTCAATCTTACCATCCAAACATCCAATATTTTGTTGTTAGAAGCCCTGGGTCATCTGAGGTGCAAGCCATGAAACTGCTGGATGAGAGAGTGAACTACAAGGAGGTGGGCGTCACCGCCTGGTACCCTTGGTTCCGTAAGAAGTTGCCTAGGGTATAGAAAACTCCAGCTGGAACCAGCTGTCTTATTACAATGTCATCTAAGAAGTGGTTGTATACATATAGACTTATTATACTTAATCTTGTGACTCCCATCCCATGGCCATGTACCAAGGATATAGAGTGTAGAGTATAGTATAGAGTGAATTCTGTTCGATACTCCATCAATAAGGCATATAGTACCCATCCATCTTTCCATCCATCTATCCATCCATCCATTCATCCATCCATCCATCGTTGTACATATATATATTTATTTATTTACATATTACATATGATCGAAGGAAGTTTAGAAGTCAAACTTCCGACAATATGTACAGATGGAAAAGCAGAGGTGGGAAGAGTCAGAGAAGAGAAGAGCAGAAGAGAGAAGATCAGAGAAGAGAAAGAGTCAGAAGAAAGAAGATGCAAGTGCGCGAAACGGTAGGAAAGTCGCGAAACACTGTGTTTGTCCAATGATTTGTGGTTCCCAAGGGTCGAAAAGTAGGCTCGCTGAAGCGGCGGGTGCGGAGCCATCTGGCCAGATGAGAGATGAAAAGGTGCACGCCGTTGTGGCGCGAAGCAAATTTGCAAGTGAAAAAGCTAAAAACACATCGTTCGGAGCACTGTTGGAAGTTGAGATGTCCAAAAAGTTCACGCAGTTGTGGCGCGAAGCACATTTCGAAGTCAAAATGTGTAAAACAGACCAGGTGCGGAGCACTTTTGGAAGTTGAGTTGTCGAAAAAGTATGAAAAAGTACACGCTGTTGTGGCGCGAAGCACATTTCGAAGTCAAAAATGCTCAAAGCACAACATCGGATAACTTTTTGACATTCAGATGTCGTTTCGCGTGGCAGGTGCAAGGGATTGTGCACCTTGTCAGAAGTGAGCAAAACGTGAGGGTTTTGTAGCATTTCCAAAAACGATGGCAGACGTGGGACATTTTTGCAGAGGATCGGCAAAGATGCATTCTCCGTGGCAGGCGCAGTACAAGAGACATGTTCATCAGAGATGTTAGGAGGTCCGGGCGCTGATGTCCTGAGAGGGATTGCATTTTGGAGCATCAGATCTTTAGTTTTGGGAAGATGTTTACAGGTGCGGCACTTCGTATGACATGGCAACACTTTTTCGTGCTAGGCGCAGCACTTTAAAATGGAGTGGAAAAATCGCGAAACGCATAACGCACTGGTACGAGGCCATCAGCTCTGCACTCGACTTTCCATTTTTGAAGGAAGTCTCGCAGAATTGCTTCGTTTTTGATGTTGCCAACTTGAAGAACTGAGGAAGTCTCGCACAATAGCTTCGTTTTTGACGTTGTCAAGTTCAAAAGTTGAGGAAGTCTCGCAAAATTGCTGCGTTTTTGATGTGTTGTCACGTTCAAATATTGAGTTGTCTCGCAGAATTGTATCGCTTTTGCTGTTGTCAAGTTCAAATATTGAGCAAGTCTCGCAGACTTGTTTCGTTTTTGACGTTGTCAAGTTAAAAAATGAGGAAGTATCGCAAAATTGTTTCGTTTTGACGTTGACAAGTTGACCGTGTTGGCCGGCAGCCGCATGGAAGATGGGACACAAGCAGTGATGCACACCGCGTGATTGTCAGCTTGGCAAAGATACCATGGACCGCGTGTGTCTTTTTTGACCGCATCGGCCGGCAGCTGCACCAAGAACATGGGACACATGCAGTGAAGCGCACCGCGTGAAGCCAATGGCTTTGGTTTGACTCCTTCGCAATGGTTTGACGGCATGCCCGACGTTCTTCCTAGCTGTGTTGCCATTCTGGATGTTAGTTCTAGATGTTTGCTTGCCATTTTCGTACTTGTCTTTTCTGACGGTACGAAGTCACGGATGCTGCTTGTTCGCTCCGCAAAGACAAGGTAAAAAAAGGTTGAGTTGTGTTGTGTGCACCCAAGGGATCGTGCTAGAGCGACGTCTCACATTTTTAAGTTTTGTAAGTTACTCCACAACTTAAACCAAGGATCTGTTCGCTCTGTGTCTTGTCTGTGCAAATGTTACCTGCTTGCTGTCGAACTGTCGAGATGGAAAGATGCAGAACTCGATATAGTTGGATGGGTGAAATGCTTCGGTCCTTGAATTGATAGAATGGATTGCTGGATGAGCAGATAGATAGCTAGATAGATGGATAGACTGAAGACGGCAGACAGACAGAGAGACAAGGAAATGAACAGATCTCGAAAGAGAGAAGTAGAAAGAAAGATAGACAGATAAACATATAGACAGAAATAGGATGATGGATGGACGGCTGCATAGACAGATAGAGAGCTATAAGCAGATGGATGGAAAGACAGAGAGATGGATAGGTTGACAGACAGATAGGTCAGTAGACTCAGTAGACAGAAAAGAGAAATCATCGATAGATGGATGGATGGATGGATAGATAGATAGATGGATAGTTCGACATTCCAACAATCTTGCTGTCCATCAGTGGGTTCGCTCTGCCATCCGTGATTCACAACAACCCACCTCTCCTATAGGTTTCCTATTTTTGAAACTTCCGCCACCGCCTTGGGTACTACTGGTATATGTATATATATATATGTATACACAGGTCCATGCAGCTACCACGGCGAGGTGGTGGACATGGAGAGTTTCTACTTGAACCTGGCCCTGGACGCCGTGGGTCTTACCATCTTCGGCGTGGAGTTCGAAGCGTCCGACCAGCCGCCCAACCGCCCGCAGTCGCCCATCGTTCAGGCAGTCTACCGCTTGTTGAAGGAGACACCCGGACGCTCAAAAGGGGAAAACCATGGGTAAACTATAGGAAAACCATAGGATATATGGGAAATGCTCTAGACTCCATAGGTGGAAGTTTGAATGGGAAAACTGAGAATTTTCTTTTGCCAGGTTTGATTACCGGAGGGCGAACATGATCGTTGTTGGTTTATAAACCATGCGAACCAGTTCGGTACATCTACCATGCACCATAGCATTTTACTAGCTGTAAACCAAGTTAGGGCGCACCTGTAGTCATGCGCTTGCTGATGTTCAGCCCATCTGGGTGTAGATTCGAGGGTATGAATATTGATCCAGCTAGAATCTAGAAAAAATGGTGTATGGGGGCTAAGCTCTTGGGTGATCTTAAGGAATGGAAACCGGATATTATATTATTTTTTATACATATATATATATATATATTGTGTGTGTGTTTATGAGGATGTGACAAGTAGTTTGGATGGGTTTATGTTTTTTAACCGTGTCTTATTTTTCCCCTCATGATCCCACACTTCAACGAGACACTTGTCGCAAAACGTCACTTTGTGTATGGGAGGGGGGCAACCAGCTGTTTTCCATTGAATGCTGATGACTGGTGACTAAAATTATATATCATCAAGAAAACATGCATCTCAAGGTGGTGGCATGTTTGGATATGTTAGGATGTTAGAATGTTTGAACATACCAAACATCAAAACCCATGGTTATCCCTTTTGCTCATAGGCACTTGTTCCTTGTTCATTTCTTCACTACAAGATTGGATTCTCCCATTCCACCACCTAGTTTTCCACCTGTTCTTCTGCCTTCTAAGGACGGATTACCGCCAGGCGGATCCCAGCAATTTGCTGCTGATGGGTGCCCCAGATCTGCTGGCAGAAGTGGCCGCCCCCCGGGTTGCGGAGTACAGGCCCAGCGGGGCCGGGGAAGGCCCTTGGGTGGTACACACTTAGATGGGCCACGGGATTAAATTTTGAATTTTGTCAATCCCTTGCCCCGTTCAGCCCTTAAACACCCCCAAAAAACATGTTTTAGTAGAGGATAAGACCATCTATATATTTGGGAACATTCAGTGGGTGTTGAATATTTGGGGGATGTGATTAATGATTGGGTTGTTGACCGCCAATTGCAATAGCCAGGAGGGAGAGCCGGTTTTTCACCAATTAACTAGTTTCAAGGTCCATCTAAGTGACGTCCTTGTTGTAAAATGATCATAAAGACGTTGACGGTACGAAGGTACAGGAAAAAACATACAAAACTAACTAGATGCAAATGGTTCGGCTAAATGGTATATTAAAAAATGAGGCAGATTTGGTATGGGAGTAAATATTGGATATAATGGGCTACATTTCATGGAGTTGGGTGGGTTTGCTGAAGGATTCGGAAGATGTTCCAATGTTCCCGTTGCCCTGGCCTCCAGGTAGGCCCTCACAGGAGCCATTAAAAGATACCATCGTTGATGGGTTATTAATATGTTATCAGTTCAGGAATATTCTACTACCTGCTAATTGGCGATTATTAACGAATATTATAGCCCAGTGGAGAACCAATATGAAGTACATTAGGTAAACCATGGTGAAACCCATCATGAAGCCATTCTATAGAAATTTCTATGATATATGGACATATGGGTTCATACATACCTTTTCTTTGGGACAGCGACCTATCTTTCAACGTCGAATGAAACAGGCGCAGCATGAAACAGATCAACGAGGTCCTCAACGAGGCTATCTCCCAGGCGCTGGAGCAGCAGCAGCTGGCGACAGAGCAGGTGCCCTGCTATCCCACCATTTCCCACCACATCGAACTGTTAGTTTACAGGAGGGTATGCAGTTATGGCCATGGCTATTAGTTATAATGTTATAGCTGTTTATTTCTATGGAATTATACATTCTATAAATGGGGTGACCTAGTACTTATAACTGGTAAAGGGCCATAACTGTATAACTATAAATCTATGTATGAACGCACAACAACTCACATATTGTGGGATGTAAATGGGATTTTACCTGGGATGTATATGGTGCTTACATATATTTGATACGTTTCTGTTGTGTGATTCTACGTTGTTTTTTTGGGGGGTGGACATGCCTGAAGATTTACATTGGATTTATAGGAGATGGATGTTGTATTGTATGGGATGCATATATCATATGGGATGTAATATGTTTATGTGGGATTTGTATGGGGACTAATTATGGGATCTGACGAGGTTTAACTAGCAAAATTGAAGTTTAAACCAATGAATAGCGGGAAGCATGAGGTGTGTAAACCAACAGAAATGGAGATCGAATTGGGGTGCAACTGGGGTTATAGCCACCAATCTGATGTTTGGATTTGTCTGAAGACAGGGTATACCCCAATGGTGATTTTATCTAGGGAAAATGTTCCTTAACCAGTGGACTCACTGGTGTCCAATTGTGTTGACCCGCCAACGGGCAGGACTTGCGACGACGCTCGGGAGGAACACTGCTGCAATTCATTGTGGATTTGCGAGACAACCAAGCCAGCCGAGCTCAACTGCAGGCAAGTGTTGGGCGTATTTTTCCAGGCCCCCAATTTCGCGTGTCCTCTCAGGGGTGACCGTGAGGAGCACCATGAGGTCAGGATTGAGTGATTTGGCAGAACCCCTCCTTGAGCGCAGGACGACATGCGCACCGTGTTGATCGCTGAGCACGCACCTGGGCAGCGCATCAAAAGATATTGGGTCATTGGAACCACCAGCTCTGGGTCCTGGGTGCCCGTCCTCTCAGTGCTCAATCCCTGGGTGACGAAAGGTGGACCACACACCCACTGTGTCCATCTGCCATCTGCCAGCATTTCCCAGGAAACAGTGGCCAGCGTTCTGACTTGGGCTACCTATGAGCTGGCCAAGAATCCACGCATCGCGCAGAAGGTCAAAGAGGAGGTGCCAACCGGTCCGACTGTCCCTGCAACCCCAGTCCCAACCAGAAAGAAATGGTGGTTTCCCCAGTTCCAAGCTGTTTTCTATGTAGAGATTCTTCCCTACCATAGGGAAACTAAAAACTTGTTGGTTGTTTCGGCTTCCAGCAATCAATTGCCTACACATACCTTAACTCAGAACCAAGGCAAAGAAGACTTGCCATTTGTTTAGGATGCTTTCCCTACGTTTTTTCCCCTTAAATGGGCGAGGCAGGCTTTTGTACAATTACACGAAAACCCGAGGGAAAGTAAGTATAGCTTCTATAATTGTCTATAACGTCAACCCCGGATGTATAAGCTCTGTTGATTGATTAGGGATGTTCCCCCCCCAAAAAAAAGTTATGGATTACAACTTAAGTTGGTACAATTTGGTACCCCTCCTACAAGGTAGTGCCCCATAGTTAACTAAACTCCAAGAACTATAGGGTTTATGATAAATATATATATATAATATATAATTATATATATTATATATGTATACTGTATATACACCAATATTACTATAGCTAACGGGGGTTAGGTGCCCCAACGAGCTTCTCCTAGCACAGCAACACATGGCGCCAGGTGCAGAATGTCTTGGGTGGCCGGAGCCCAACCTACCAAGATGAGCCTTGGTGGCTGATGATTCAAGTACAAGGTGGCCCAGGTATGTTTGTTGGTTGATAAGCGTCACTGACTTTAGATTTACAGAAAAAAATATCCTGATGTATCTAGCATAAACTAGCATAAACCAACTTAGCTAACTATGGAGCACCACCTTTTATGGAACCTGTTCGATGATGTTCAAGGAGGCTAGAAGACGAAGTGAAACTTAATGTTGTCATGTGAATTGAAGCCATATTCGACCAACTCAGTTGGTACTCAATGGGCTGATTTGCACCCATTATAATACATAATCGTTGGTTAAGGGTTGAATATAATCTACGACATGAGGTGTTGCTACCATTGCTTTCTAAGTCATGTATGATGTGAATCACGGATGAACCATCTAAGATCCTGGTTCACTGGTTTGATGCATTTTGACATATTTTGATGTGTCTTCCCTCAAACATTCATCTCATGTTGCTTTCAGCCAGAGAAAAGGGTGATTACTGGTAATGGATGAATTTCATGTGTAATTTTTCATGATATCCCACGAACTCGACTTTGGCTTTGGTTTGGAGTTGTTTAAAAATGAACCATGGCCATGTTACCTCGTCCTTTTGGTCACAGGGGCCACTGCTACGGGCCCTTGAGGTGAAGGAGTTGAAATATCTCCGGTGGGTCATTACTGAGGCGAGTCCTCAAAACCCATGAAGACATCCGATCGGAAAATGGTCCGGAAATGGTGGGTCTTCCAGATATATGTTGGTTTGGAGGGGCACACACACATATATATATATAAATATTAATACATATGTGTAATATCTATATGAAAAACTCTTAGCCTGGGGTTCTGGATCTCTGTATGAATGAGCCTTTTTCAATGCTGGAGGGTAATTCATGTATCACAGACCCCACGGTAGTTGGGATGGTTCTTGGTATTTCCTTGTCCTTTTGGGCTGCCAGAGGTGATGTAACTTGCCAACCACAAGCCGCAAGCAACCAGCAACTGCATTCCAACCCGGTCAAAGTCATTGTTTGGTTGAGTCATCATGTTGGGTTTTACCAGGATTCTTTGATCTCTGGCAGTGCGGGGAGATGTGCGTGTGACTTTTCAAATTGAGTGCTAAGGAAGTAGGACCAGTGCTAGGGCCAGTTTGACTTATGTACTTCAGACATGTTGGAAAGTACAAACATGCAAACTGTTTGGTCGTGGCGCTACCTGTTACACGCACATGTTTGAATTAATACATGATCAATAAGAGAGAGAGAGACCCCCCAGTACATTCATATAGAATCATGTAGATATGGAAACCCCACCATGTGTAGATTATTTTCCTGGGGAATCGGTGGACCAGTATATTTATAGAGTAATGTGGTAAACCCAATACAAAAAAAACATCCACCAGTCATCACCTTTTTATGGGTGGTAACCATCCCCAGTCATGGTAGGTTTATGGCATTAAGTTGCCGGGTTTCGGGTTTCGCGGTTCCCAGACCTTGCGGATGTATCCGGCGCCTCCATTTCTGGCACGGAGTCCTTTGACGCTTTGGTGGGACCAAGGGTCCCTATAGATGGTGGGTTTTGTGGTGAAAACCTTGGTATAAACAAGCAATCATGGGGAATAATGGGGATATAGTGGGTGGAGTATCATCAATAATCTGATATCTCTGGATGTGTCTGAAAACGCAGTAGAAACCCGACAAAAACTCCGCAAATGGCAAAATTTCAATGGGGATAATGATAACTATGATAACGATCCATTGGAATCGGTGGCACCCTAGTTTTAGACACACCCAAATGTTTCATATCAAAGTGGCCCTTACTGGAAATTCCAGTAATTACTGGAGTTACTAGAGGATAGTCTGAGTCATATTCTTGGTATTTCCCAGTGAACATGTTAATAATCCACATATATGATTATGTAATATTTTGTCATATATCAAAAATATTAACAATATGTTAAACATACATTCATACTTAAAGTTGTTTTTCGTTGGCCACCTGTAGGTCATAGAGTAATTCTCAAAGGCTTCCGATGGAATTCGCGATCGCTGTCCCAAAGCGCAGCAACATCACAAGGACCACCAGAAATGGTGGCTTATGGTGGCTAAGGGGAATTAGATTGAATCAGATATAGATAATAATCATCATCAGATATCATCAAATATGTTTTAACTCTACCTTGAAAACAATGATATAATAACACCAAGTATACCTACGGATAATAAGCATATTTGTTGTATAACTATATTTTGAAACTATATATATATATATATATAATCATCCCTTTTCAAACCCACTATTTTTAGTGGAGTCCCAAAACCCTGCTCCAAGCTGGCTGACGTCTCAGGAAGGACTTGGATCTGCCGAATGGAGAAAACCAAACCGTCCGATTGACCCCTGGCGCTTACGGGGAATGGTGCGGATGGAGTAAGGATGCTGTTTTCAATCCATGATTTGTCTCAAAATGGGATACTCCAAAATACTTTTTGTTAAAGAAGCCATGGGCAAAGTATGATAGACCATGGGATTTTAGGGTTCCAAATGTTGAGATAGCCCCGCGATTTTTAGTTTCATACTGATTGATCAAAGATGCTACTGATTGGCTACTTGATTCAGAGTTCTCCGAGACTATACCCCAATAAACCCCGATGGCCCTTGCAACATTATTTGACTTTTCATCAACCGGCATAGTCCATTTGGTTTGGAGATGTCGTGTCATCAGATGGGTATATGTAGAACGGTATGTGTCAGAACACAGCGCCCTTTCCCACACCATCCTACCCCAAGCAACAAAATACATCACAATAAAACAGGACTGTGTACTGCTGTGCCAAGATTAATGTCAACCCTGGATAAATAAACCCCTAGGCTGTTTAATTGGGAGGGTACCATTTATGTATCATATTGTGACTATATGGAGGGTATCCCCCTAATTAATAAACCATGATTGTTCCGACACCATAGATCCCATAAATATCACCCAGTAGTCAACCGCAGGTCGCGGGGGTCCTTGCTGATGATCCAACTGGCTCAACTGCACCGCCATCCCGGGATCTACGAGCGGCCCAACGAGTACCTTGCGAGTAGAAAGCTGTGGCCCCCCCCATCAGTATAAACCATATGTTTAAAACCATCCAATATAGTAACCGCATGCAACCACCAAAATGATAAACACTATTTTACTCTTCAATTTTTGGGGGTTTGCTATCTAGCTGGGTTTGTCCAAAAATGGTGGCAATATACCGCCCATAAAATGGTATATAGCTTTTAGGGAGATTGCTGATCATCTGCTTCAAATTGGCTGTGCCCCATGTAAATGGGGCCATTTTCCATGGCTTTGCTGAATTACCAGGGGGTATCCACTTTAAATACTACTAACCTAGTGAAAACCAACTTATACAGCTACTAAGTATGGGGCACCACTTTCTGCGGGGTGCGTATTTTGTTCCGCCCGAAATTGGCCACTGGGTAAACATTTTTTTTGAACAGTACCTAGACTTGCAATCAATGGGGGCATAATTAGGGAATATAATGTGCAGCAAGAGTAGCGTAACTTGTTGTTTGCAAGATATAATATAAGATCAGCAATGTTAAGGTTCCAAGAACAGAGGCCCTCGAAAGATACACAAAAGAGTCAGGAACCTGCGCACCTTCGCAGAGTCATAGGCACCTACTTGGAATGAACACAACAAATCTAATCCATCTATTCTGCTGGTTGATGAAATGAACAGTTTAACCTACATATTGATGCTTAAATATACTTAGATATCCATAGTGTATCGCCCTGTGTCAGTTAAAGATGTTCCACAATCTCCATGTAAATTGAAGCTTAAGCAACTTGTCCTTTGCTTAAATCATGTTCAATTTTCCACAATTCCATGTCTTTTGTTTCAGACATCCATTCATTCTTGCTCCAGGCACCCAGATATTTGTTCGGAACATCTCTAAGGTTTTGGCCTGAACGGTGGCAAAAAGCTTTCAACGGCACCGGTGAATATCCAGTTCCAGGTGCGGGGGGGAAGTTTCATTTCTTACTTCGAGCCCGTGCTTGTCCTATCTCAGGCATTTGGTACTCATCAAATTTTTACAATGGTTTGTTTGAAAGTAGGGTACGTCAAAATCCGCAGGGGTTATCAAAATGGTTCCTCCTCGTACTATTATATATATAAATGGTAATTTTGCAGGATTATATATATATATATATAAATGGTAATTTTGTGGGCATACCGGGCATACCAATTTTTAGACGCACCCATACAATTGTTGATGTGGGAGCAATAGTGGCACTTGGGCTCTTTGGCTTCAAAGTTTGCTTATACCGTTTGCCGCTTGTTAGGACCCATCAGCAGTATGTGCCTTCAGGGTTCCTGCAGTGGTCCTCTCCAAATCAGACGGATTTGAACGGCAGGAAGCACCATCAAACCCATGAAGAACCATACTGTTTTCGATCTTTGACATTTGAAATGCTGCATGTCATCCATGTTGAGACCCCATATCTGACTACGAGCAGCAGCCTGGACCCTCACATCACCCTGAAAAAAATGGGAGTTCCCATCCGTTTCGGATTTTGAGCCATTTTTTACGGGTCAACCGGCTGTCAACCGCGGGTCCAAAGTGGTCCTTAAGGAGCCTCCATGCCATGTCCCGTTCGCCCCAGGCTGGCGTGGCTACGACCCGCAGCGGGTCACCGGGCTCTATCCGACCGAGGTGGCCACGGATTACGCCTTCGTTGGTTTCGGTGGAGGTGAAACGCCGAAACCCACCCATTTTGATACTGCGCCATGTAGTGAAGATACTGATACTATTTGATACCGAATCGAATATGTGAAGTGAATGTATTAATGTGGGTAAAACAACAATAAACATCAATAAACTTGATAAACTAGCCATTTGGGAATGGTAAGCATAGCACCTATAAAAATGGTGATGGCTGGGGGATGGTTTATTGTTTTTCTAGTGCTAGTTACTAGTACTTGGTTGAAGTCCAAGGCACGGACCCCGAGGCGAATTCAAATGCGTTGGAGACCAATTTGCCATGCTGGAAGCCACCGTGATGCTGTCTATGCTGCTGCAGAGGCACGGACCTATCCACGCTGATTGCCCCAGGAGAAGTGGAATATTCCAAAAAGGAACTTCCTAAGTTAGAAGTTCAATTTCACCCATCTAGCTGCAGATATAACCTCCCGGATGGCGATGAGGAGAGAGAGAGAGAGATATATATATATATATACATATAGTGTAAGTTATTGGTAACTATTACTTATTGTCATTACCACATCAGAGACAAACAAAGTCATACTCAAGATATTTAAACCAACTTTCTCCGCAAGCTCCCCTCATAAAGGGTGCTGTGAAAAACGCCTGGGATTCATGGCACCCAATCGATCCGATAGCCTATAGCACGACTCGAAGCATCCTGAAATGTATCATGAGAATTTTACACATACATCTTCCATATAGCAGCGTCAACCAATAAGCCAGCTACAATGCCTCCACCTTGTAACGTCGAGTGTCACCATCCAGGCCCCCACATCATGTTAGAAGTGGACTGCACATCCTCCAAAAAGGCATGGTTCCTGCCTTCAAAGCTGGATTTTATCTTGGCAGATGACATCACAGCGGCAGGTATGATTTCCAGATGGTCTACGAAGACCTCAACACCATTGGCCTTGATTTGGCCGCCACCATCCATACCAAGCGTGGTTTGCTGACGCGCGTGTCGCAGAGCAATTGCTACACAGAGTAAGGTACGGAAGGCTGGATTGGGTATAGGTCGAATAGGCCATGATGGAGATGTTGGCAACATGAGGCAATGATAGTGGGGTAGTGGTAGTGAGAGTAGGATTATATAATTATCACATGTTGATGTTGTGATTATACGCGGATGATCGCTGATGGGCTGATGATGGGTTTTAAGATGATAGAAGCGCCAATGATCAGTCAAGCCATTCGGAACATCAAATTGGATGGTTCAATGCTATCATTGAGATGTATTGAGACACATGTGTTTCAACCCATGCAACTGGTCTCCAATCAGCTGGAAACTCCGGTCCGACTCCGGTCCGCTTGGCTGATTAGTGTGAGTTGTTCCTGGAAAAACTTCAGCTTTGAAGCCACCAATCTTTCAGGATACCCCCTGTCACACTTGGCATTGCGAAAATCAGCCATGGGAATTGCCCAGCCAGGTTTTGGCAATCGCCGCGATCCGTTGATGTTCGAGTCGCGGCAGGTTGATTGGCAAGATGACTGCTGGTTCCAAATAATTGGATTAGTAATGATGAGCATGTTCTTCCTCCAAAATAATTTGGGAGCCTGATCCGTGTTGGAAAGGGATGAAACCAACCAGTCAAATTTCCAAGGTGGCACACACATTTTCCAGGTGGCATGATGCCACCCAGCTACCTGTGGAATTCTCGGCCTAACCGACCGTGGTTCACCATGGCCCCGAAAACAGAACGTGGCGCCAAAGCAGCGCAAAGATCAGACGAAAACTTGGCGGCTGGGAGAGGTCGTTGAGGCAAGTGCCCCCGGATTTGTGTGGGAATCAAAGGAAGCTATCGGTGAAAATTTGTCCCCCCAAGCTGGCGTCGTTGATATCACCTCAAACTTGCAGCCATCCCATCATGGCCGAGGTTGGCGTCCACAGCTGCAACCTCCAGAGGTGTGCTTTCACCCATCCCAAGTGTACTATGGGTGTGTAATTTCTTCTATTCTATGGGTATGAATGGCAGGGGGATACAATTCTATAATAATGTATGCAATTTCCTGATTTTTTTGGACCCTTGTCACCCCAAAAATTGATTTGTGGTCAGGTTTTGACTTCTATGTTTGGGCTATAGAAGTTGAAGAATGCTTTTATGTTTTATTGCGGGGTGATGGTCCTCAATGATTTTCCTTTTTTGGGGCGCTTCAAAATCACCAAGTAGACTTAGAGGATATCAGGGAAGTATGAAATACCCAAAATACAAAAACCACAAAGGTTGAGATCCGAACATCACATCTACTTCTTACATACGGCACATGTTTTATTCTTAATTTCAGTAAACAACAATTGCAAATAATCCTATACAAACATAACATATGTGCTATCCCAACTCTCATTCACCCCCAGACCTGAAGGAAAACTCTATATAATGGTTAATGGTAAAGAAACAAACAGAAAGACAGGAGCCTCTCAGTGAGTGGCTGCAGGTTGTTCAACCACTCGCTCTTCCAGCAGGGGCTGCAAAGGTGGGGGTTCCAGAGTTTTCCCACAGATATGCTAGTAATTTTTAGTATCAGCCAAACACATGTTTCTGCAGATGCTCATGTATGCTCATATTATCTCATACAATGTACGTGTGTACATGGGCAGATACACATAAGCCACTTATAGGTAAATCTCATTATATACAATACATATATAAAATATATGTTTTTTCTCTGCTAGTATATCTGACTAGACCCATTGTATGATAACTAGAAACTACATTTCTAAGAAAACACTGGGAACATCCCCAAAGTCATGTGGGTATTGCCAAACCCATATATGAGAGAGAAAGAGACAGGAATGGGGATCGGGATCCATTTAACAAGTGGAGTAACCTCACTGTATATGTTCCAGACTTCGATGCAACATTTGCAGCAGTATTTCAACTGGAATATGACCACAATTCACAAGCAAATCAGTCATAAAGGGTCGATTTTCCATATTACCAGAGGGTAGATGCCCCCTTTGTCCAACCCAATGCTATTCTCGCCGTGTACTTAATGGGATGCACATTTAGCCATAAGTTTGTTGGAACCGCGCTGCAGGACCTCTTTGTCGAAGCGGCAAAGGAAAAGCGTTGCCTGGCCGATTGTTTGTGGTGGCAAATCCAGGATGCTGGCTGTTCTGGTACCTAAGGTGCTATAACGTGAGCTTAATACTTACATTACTTACATTTATCTATCTATCTATCTATCTATCTATTTTTCTATCTATCTATCTATCTATCTATCTAATCCAATCTAATCTACTCTAATCTAACCCAATCTAATCTAGTCTAATCTAACTTATCTAATCTAATCTATCTAATCTAATCTAATTATATAACATAATTATACAATCTAAATCTAATTGTATAATCCAATCTAATCTAAACTAATCGAATCTAACCTAAAATCTAGTCTAGTCTAGCCTAGTCTAGTCTAGCCTAGTCTAGTCTAGTCTAGTATAGTCAAGTATATCTATCTATCTATCTATCTATTTATCTATCTATGTATCTATCTGCCTGTCTGTCTATCTATCTATCCATCTATCTATCTATCTACCTATCTATCTATCTAACTATCTATCTATCTATCTATCTATCTACCTATCTATCTATCTTATCTATCTTATCTATCTTATCTATCTTATCTATCTTATCTCTCTATCTCTCTTTCTCTCTATCTACCTATCTACCTATCTACCTATCTACCTATCTATCTATCTATCTATCTATCTTATCTATCTTATCTATCTATCTATCTATCTATCTATCTATCTATCTATCTATCTATCTATCTTATCTATCTTATCTATCTTATCTATCTTATCTATCTTATCTATCTTATCTATCTTATCCACCTTATCTACCTTATCTATCTTATCTATCTTATCTATCTTTTCTATCTTTTCTATCTATCTATCTGTCTATCTATCTATCTATCTATCTATCTTATCTATCTATCTATCTATCTATCTATCTTATCTATCTTATCTATCTATCTATCTATCTATCTATCTATCTATCTATCTTATCTATCTTATCTATCTTATCTATCTTATCTATCTTATCTATCTTATCTATCTTATCTATCTTATCTATCTTATCTATCTTATCTATCTTCTCTATCTTATCTATCTTATCTATCTTATCTATCTTATCTATCTTATCTATCTTATCTATCTTATCTATCTTATCTATCTTATCTATCTTATCTATCTTCTATCTATCTTATCTATCTTATCTATCTTATCTATCTTATCTATCTCTATCTATCTCTATCTATCTCTATCTATCTTTATCTATCTATCTATCTATCTATCTATCTCTATCTCTATCTATCTATCTATCTATCTCTATCTATCTATCTATCTATCTATCTATCTATCTCTATCTATCTATCTATCTATCTCTATCTCTATCTATCTATCTATCTATCTATCTATCTATCTATCTATCTATCTATCTTATCTATCTATCTATCTATCTATCTATCTATCTTATCTATCTATCTATCTATCTATCTATCTATCTATCTATCTTATCTATCTTATCTATCTTATCTATCTTATCTATCTATCTTATCTATCTTATCTATCTTATCTATCATCTATCTTATCTATCTTATCTATCTTATTATCTTATCTATCTATCTATCTATCTTATCTATCTCTATCTATCTATCTATCTATCTTATCTATCTTATCTATCTTATCTATCTATCTATCTATCTATCTATCTCTATCTCTATCTATCTATCTATCTATCTCTCTATCTATCTTATCTATCTTATCTATCTTATCTATCTTATCTATCTTATCTATCTTATCCTATTATCTATCTATCTATCCTATCTATCCTATCCTATCTATATCTATCTATTATCTATCTATCTATCTATCTATCTATCTATCTATCTATCTATCTAATCTATCTAATCTCTATCTGTCTTATCTATCTCTCTATCTCTCTATCTATCCTAATCCTTCATCTATCTATCTCTCTCTATCTATCTATCTATCTATCTCTCTCTCTCTACTCTATATCTATCTATCTATCTTATCTATCTATCTATCTATCTATCTATCTATCTATCTATCTATCTATCTATCTATCTATCTATCTATCTATCTATCTATCTATCTATCTATCTAATCTATCTATCTATCTATCTTTGTAAATGTATCTATCTATCTATCTATGTAAATTCCTCTGTCCGTCTATCCCTCCATCCATCCATCCACCCATCCATCCATCCATCCATCGATCCATCCATCCATCCATCCATCTATCTATCTATCGACCTACCATTAGGCCGTTAGGCCCCTTGGTTTGGGGTGGACATGTTGGTGCCGTGGGTTTGGTTTTCGGTATGCCCGAAGATCTTTACTATGCTGGCACGATAGGTGGTTGAAAGGAGGTAGGACTTACTGCGCCTTGGAACAGGGGGCGTAAGACTGACTCTGCAGGGAAGCAGCTGGAACTTTTTTCCGCCAGGGTGGGTCTCAGATTCCAATACTGCATAGTCATAGAAACTGTTTGTGGAAACCGTCAGTTTATGAACAGGACCAGTGTCCCAATGGAGAACAGAACCCACACGAGCTGTGACAACACGGGCGGAGCTGAGGACTAGCCGGAAAACGGAAGCCAGGCCGGGTGCTGGCGTTTGATATGGGGAATAGACATGTCATTTCACCATTGAAATGGCCATTGAGGGGTATATATACGATATACCTCTCACATCCCGGCAGTCACGACAACCGCCCGTCTCAGGTGAGATCGCAGACGATGTGTTCGCAGGCGGTTGCAGATGATTTGAAAGATTTGCCTCAAATTACTGTATAGTTCACATAGGTTGCAACCACCACACAGTCACGGCTAGGCTTGAACATGGAATTCGGGACCATTAACAATAATAATGTTGTCGCAAGACCCTGTTGGGACCTCCTCCCACCTTTCTATCTCCACTGCTTCGACGTCGCAGATATTTTGGCCCCTTTGGATGCTGACGGCGAGCAATGGCAGGTGGCCGGGTGCATAGCGAAAGTCTATGAAACTTGCGCTATCAATCCCATAATTGACCCCTTTCAGTGGACCAACTATCGTTCGAGGTGAGGTGGAGGTTTTGGATGTTTTAAGATGTTCTTAGCATGTGTGGGAAGCTTGGAGGAAAAAAAAAATCCTGTGGGTTTGCCTCACACTCGGAGTGACTAACCCTTGCCACTGCATGCCGTGCGTCAGGGATCACAAGGCGCTGGGCTTAGATCCAAGCTGTGTTGATTTATTGGTTTCAAGCGAGCGCAGTTTGGGACGGGTTGAAACCACCAACCTGGCGAAGAGTTCTTGCGTCTGCTGATCTTAGCGCACCCCTTGGTGATCAAACCTGGCAATGACAATGACAATCATAGATTATATTCCAATTTGACCATTGGAAAGAAAAGGGACATCATTTACAACTGTAAACTATCACTCGGTGATGTGTTGAATATGATAAGGCATAGCTCATCATTTAATTTCATTTTTGTAGATGAGTTCTCTTTCTTTCCCCATTTCGAAGTTGGCATTTCCCGAGTGCAGCAGGTCTGACCCTGCAAGTCAGTGACGCCGACGACGGCATGGAGTGCGACAACGTCCAAGATCATGGCCATAGGATGCCATGGGGAAACGATTAAAAAGGGTTTTTTGAGTGAAAAAAATGAATGTCAACAAGAAGTATGTGTATATCATATATGGACATATATGTTCAAGTGGATGATAAACATGATGATTTACTTATTAACTATGGATGACTATGGTGATTTTTCACAGCTACGGTGCATGACCAGAGGGTAACTCAAGAAATTATGAGGTAAACCAACTGATGCTGGGGCCAGGGGATGTGAATGGATGTGAGATTGGCAATGATAAATGGACCTAAAGCCTCAATTTACCCAGAAAGTTGATATTTGCAAGTTATGTTTAAACTTATGCCCATTTGTTATCATTTTTTTTTGCGTTGACTGGGGATCAAGTTACCATGCCCTTGACCCGTTTATTTGTCAATGTTCCCTTAAATAGTCAGCAGAAGTTTGGCTTAAGATGGAATTTATATAACCTATGGGAAGGAGTGGGCACAATTAGGGGATATTTATTCCGGAGTATAAACATATTTATATTATTTTATATCAAACATGCTAAATGGTCATGCTAAAGCCCAAGTGCAGATTTTACTTCCAAAAAATCTGTCCCAAATGACCAAATGACCCCAAACATATTAAACAAATGCAATGCACAACCGTTTTGGCTTTCTATGGTGCGGGTAGCATTCGTGTTTGCAAATCTTGCGATCTACCCTTTGAATACCCCTGATCTACCAGGTACGAGCTCCTCTCACCCGAAGAAAGTGAAGCTAAAACGGCCATTTGGGACGAGGCGGCAGCTGTCACTTTTGGAAGAGCATCCCCATGATCCCCACGTTCATGCTGAGTATCAGTAAATATCTAAGTACTTTAAGTAGTATTGTTAAGTAAAGGTGGTTGTAACATGTGAAGTTAGGTGAATTTTCCCAACCCACGTGTCCCCCCTCCTAATTGGCATAATATGGCTTGAAGCCCTTTGGCTCCGGTTTCAGGCCTGTTCAAGAGGTGATGCTTCTGAAGAAAACATTTGGAAACCAGCTGTTCCGCACGTTCAAATGGAGAAAAAGGATGCCATGATTTACAGCTTTTGCGGCAACATGTCCAAACAAAGTCATCCAAACTCCACTTCTCGAAGAAGAAAGTGTGGAGTCAACAAAAGCTCATCTCAACAGAGGAATTTCGGTTCTAAAGTCCGTTGGCCACAGCAACGAGTCAACACATCCGTTGCCGCTGATGGACACCATGCATCGGCTCCGGCTCTGTGCGATCGTCGCGGTGCTGCTGATGTGCCGTTATGACTGGCTCTTTTCCTTACCCGGGCGGTCCTCCATGAGGGAAACTTGGATGCCAGACTACTTCGGGGTGCGGGCCTCACTTCGTAAATGGGTTAAGTTATATAAATGGATTCTAAACCCCTTACTGAGTGGGATGCACATTACCCCGTATATTCCAGGTGGAGTATCTCCAGTTCTTGGACGACCGATTTGGGCTGCACAAGGCCAACCATAGGGAAATTTCATCATGACAACTGTGTTGACAATACATGGAAATCCTCTGAGCTGAATCGACTACTGTACCAAGAATTGGGGGAAATAATTGTGTGTTTCATGGTTGTTTCATGATGTTTCATGTTTGTTTCATGTTTCATCCTACCTCAAACGAGAGTTTTCAGAGGTTTGAGCCTGCCGGAAACAACACGTTTTTCCGACGATCGGCAACTACAATTGTTGTAGTACGTGAATCGCTGCCAGAAGCATCCAGAAACACCATATTCATCAGGGAGGTGATCGGTTCTCCAAAAGGAGCCGCTTAGCACGCCAAAGTGCCAGAGGTTGCCTGGGTTCTGTGTGCCTTCCTGACGCGTTTGGGCTTGAGTTGAAACGCAGTAAGGCCCTGACATGATCCCCACGTCCTGCACACAACAACTGGTAGGATATATGATGATATATGGAAGTGGGTTCAATGCTTTTGATATATATATATATATGTATGTGTATATATATATATAATATAATATATGAAGACATGTTAGTACTTTATATATAACCTCTATGTGCAGTGTATAGATCCAGGGGTTAGTATGAGCCCGATGTTACTTTTGGCTCAAGAAACAAGGGGCGCCGTCGCTCGATATCCTGTTTTGATGGTAGCGCGTGAGCCTGGTGAATCCGACGCTGACTACGAGCTGAGAAAGCGGGATCACAGGCACAGGAGGTATAGGTCCTCCTCGGAAGAGAGCTCAGCGGCTGGTCCAGCCGCGAGCTCAGGACCGGGAGCGGCTGGTTCAGCTGCCCCGGTGGTGATAGCGGAAGAAGAACCGCAGAGAGAAGAAGCCCCAAAGAGCCCAGAAAAGCCCGAGAGAGCCAGAGAGCCAAGCCTAGAAGAAGTGAGCACAGTTCAGGTAGAAATAGGATCCCGAGTCACCTTGAGGTCAGGCGTAAAGACTTATCAGGTTAAGGGACTCCACCAACAGTCACAGGTCGAAGAGGGCGACGGTCCAGCAGGACGAGACAGGTCCGCGTTTGTGGAAAGACTGAAGGCTCCGGACCGAGGGCCGAGTGAGAGCGCACCGTGGAGGAGGCCTGAGAACCTGCCGCAGGAGGAGCAGTCAGGCCAAGCTCCAGGTGTAAGGTCTGAGCACGGACAGGGGTTCAGACTTAGGTCGCAACAGAGCCGCCAGTATAGAGCCTTGAAAAGCCAGATCAGACTTGCCAAGAAGCTGGGTGCCACAGTCCCAGGAAATATCAAAGCCCAAGTAGAGGACTTCGGAGAGGGTCGGAAGACCTACAAGAGAGAGGGAGGTAAGACTCTCGCTCTGAGCAAACGGTCGTTTCGACCGGGGCAGATCCGATTGAGGTCATTGTCAACCCATTCAATAAGGTTGAAGTCCGTGGCACGATCCGCAAGGCCTGCGAGTTCCAAGGCCAAACCAAAACCAAAGCCGAAGCCTAAACAGCCAGTCAGGAATCGAATCAGAGGGCCAGCAAAAGAAGGGTTGAAAGTTCACGGAAGGGCCTTGAAGTTGAACAAGAAAATCCGTGACTTGGCAGAGAAGTGGGCAGCGGACAACGCACTCAGTCCGTACTTCCTTGAATCCCCATACCAGGTGCGTAATCTGGCAGTTCGGCAGCTGAAGGGGGAAACTGGAGCGAAGGGCACAGTAGCTTCAGTCTTGATCAAGCAGCTTTGGAACTTGCCGAACGAGGGAACAGAAGAAAAGGGCCCAAGTGAAGCTTGCAGCTCCTGTGACGAAAGGGGCAAGAAGATTGAGCCGGGCGTAGCTGAGTTTCTTAGGAAGCGCGCTGCAGAGAAGGCCGAGACTGAGGCTAAGAGAGCCAAGGTCGAGGCTTCCAAACCCTAAGCGGTGTACAGGAGCGGCTTGGTAGTGAGCCGCCACAGCGGACGCTTCGTCCGTCTTGAGGAAAAGAGAGTTGGGTGCACCGTAGGTCACAGGGATGGAGCAGCAAGTCCAGCAACTAGCAGAAGTAGTCCAGCAACTCCAAGCTAAGCAACAAGAATTGATGCAGGAAAATCAAAGATTAAGAGAAGGTCAGGCAGGTGTTCAGGCACTGGCGACATCAGTAGCAGAACTAGCCCAGTCTATGAAGAAGGAACACAAAGACAGGAAAATCCTGGTAGACACCAAGGGGTTAGGCAAGCCGGACCCATTTGACAACAAAGAGGAAAGTTTCAGACGATGGATTCGTTCTATCAACAACTTGGTCACGGGTATCTTTGGAACCGAATTTGAGAAAGTTCTTGAAGAATATTTGGATTCCGAAGACCCTGTAACCATACCAGAATTGGAAGCAACTCATGGGGACCCGGATGGACCCATTGAGAACTTAGAAGACAAGGGTGACCAGTTGTTCCGGGTACTTTGTCATTTGTGTACCGGGGAAAGCGAAGATTTGGTTGTGGGTTCAGGCAATGGTTTTGAAGCCTATAGGAGGCTGTGTAGGAGATGGGACCCCGCCACGAGGGGGCGTAAGAGAAATCTCCTAAGAGCCATCCTGACCCCAGAGCGGTGCAAGAACTGGGCCGCCGTGAGGCCAGCTATAGAGCAGCTGGAAGACCTCATCAGGCGCTATGAGTCGCGAAAGTCAGCATCCGGGGTTCGGGAACAGTTGTCAGATGATATCAAATCAGCTTCATTAGAATTATTGGTTCCGAGTGACTTGGAGAAACATTTGATCCTTAATAAAAATAGACTGACCAGCTATGATTTGATGAAACAAGAAATTGAGTTGGTAGTCGACACAAGTTTAGGTTCAAAAGGAACAGTCACAAGACCAGGAGCAGCGAGTTCGTCGGGACCCCAACCAATGGATGTTGACGCAGTAACCCAATGGGTAGCTAGCTTGGTAAAGGGTGCTGGAAAAGGCAAGGGCAAGGCTAAAGGCAAAGGCAAGGACAAGGGTAAGTCTAAAGGAAAAGACAGCAAAGGCTCAAGCACTAAAGACAAAGACTTCGAATGCTACAATTGTGGCAAAAGAGGTCACAAAGCGGCAGACTGTTGGTCAAAGAAGAAAGATGGAAAAAGGCAAAGGGGGCTCAAACAAGGGCAATCAGAAGGGCAATTCAAAGGGCAAGAAACACGTTTCAGGGCTTGATGGAGGTGAAGATGAAGGAGATCAGGAAGCGGGTCGTGAACCCGCGCCTGAAGCTGATGTGGGATTGTTTGACTTAGGGTCGAAAGAGGTTAGTCCACCAGCGGCCGATTCGGCCGCGGTGGAAGAATGGGTGAGATTCAACCTGGACACGGGGGCTGCTCAGACAGCCATCCCCAAGGTTTGGGGAAAGGACATGGTCACTGTCAAACCTGGCAGTGAAGTAGTTTTCAAGACAGCATCCGGAGAATTGGTGCCGAGTGATGGCACTGGAACCTTTATTGGGTTCGGAGAGAGCGGCATGAAGTGCCGCGTGCAAGGGGCTGTTGCCGACGTGCATAAGCCGTTGATCTCAGCGCACAAGTGCCTGGGACATGGAAGGATTGCTGTGCTTGACGCAGATGGCGGCCAGTTAGTGCCGTTGGAATCGAAAGCCGGAAGGGCTATCCAGCGAATACTCACCAAGGCATCGGTATCCGAGACAAAGACTTGGATGCCTGTGTATCAGGAGAGAGGCGTGTACAATTTCTACCTTCGAAGAAAGGTGGACAGAACCACATCCAGCATGAGTGCAGTTGAAGTCCATGCGGACTTGAATGCAAGCTCTGCTGCTGAACGGGAACCTCAGGGTCGGGCCGACCCGCCTGAGGAGCCTATGGTGGCAGAAGAGGAATTAGAAGAAGTTGTTGAGGCCGAAAGGCCTGTCCAGATAAGAGCACCGGAGGAGCCAACTCCGGCTGAGATCGAGGAGCACGAGTCCATGGGGCACGTGCAATACAGAGACTGGTGCAGGCATTGCATCGCCGGAAGAGCGGTTGGTCAACCGCACCGGACAAGGAGTGATGAGCAAAGGGCAAAGAATGTGTTGCCCACGGTGTCTTTCGACTATGCCTTCATGTCGAGGGGAGTCGAAGAAGACGATGAAAGGCTGCGGCCCATCCTCGTGATGAAGGATGACAAGACGCAAAGCGTCGCAGCAACCTTTGTGGACTCAAAGGGTGCTACTCAGTATGCCGTCAAGTTTGCGGCGAACTTCCTCCGAACCTTAGGGTATCGGAAGGTGGTGTTGAAGTCGGATGGAGAGCATTCCATCATTGCACTGAAGAGTGCGGCGGCCAGAGAGGCCGCAGTTGAAGCGGTGGCTGAAGAATCACCGCCGGGTGATCACCAAGCGAATGGGATGGTAGAGAATGCCATTCGAGAAGTGAAGCGGCAGATCCGAGTGTTGAGATCAGCCTTGGAAGAAAAGATCGGAAAAGTCTTGACGGATGATGATCCAGTCTTGACGTGGCTGCCAAGACAGGCAGCAGACCTGTTGAACAGGTACAAGAAAGGCACAGACGGGAGAACTGCAGAGACCCGTCGGAGTGGAAAGCAATGGCGAAAACCAGCCATAGCCTTTGGGGAACGACTCTACTTCAAAGAGGTTGGAGAGAGCGTGAGAATCCTCAAGGATGGCAGGTATATAGGGCATCATGGACGCACAGGTTCATTGTTGCTGATGACTTCAGAGGGAGTCAAGAGAGGCGTAGGCTTCAGGAGAATGCCAGAGGCAGATCGTTGGGATCCCAGCCAGTGGGATCAACTGAAGGGCATTCCTTGGGAATTCAATGCCCCAAGGCCAAGTGTCCCGAGACTGGTTGATGAGGACCGACTAGTAGTCCCACCACCAGTCGAGGCTAGAGTGGCACCGCCACAGAAAAGGAGGATGTACATCAGACGTGAAGATGTGCATAAGTATGGAGCAACCGAGAACTGTCCTGGTTGCAGGTGTATCCTCGAAGATAGGAGGACAACAGTTCCACATACCGAGGGTTGTAGAAACCGAATTGTGGAAGCAATGGAAAAGGATGAGACTGGAGCAGAAAGGATTCAAGCACATGAGAAGAAGCGGAAAGAAGCAAGCACTGAAAAGAAAAGCAAACCAGCGGCCGTTTCGACCGATGATCCTGAGATCACTGCAGGCGATGCTGAAGGCAGACCTGCAGCTTCGGGAGCTGGAGGCAGTACAGATCCAGTTCCTGAGAGTGAACAAGAAAGAGCAGTGTTGAAGAGACAGACCTTGGAAGAACCAAGGACTCTACCGCCTAAGGCGAAACCAAAGACACAGCCACAGAGCGTGAAAAGAACTGGTGAAATGCAGATAGCTAGACAAGCACCAATGGCAAAAGCCAAGACAGAGGCAGCACCAAAAGAAAAGAGACCTGCAGAAGAAGCTGTGGAAAACCTCCAAGCGAGAACAGAGGAGCAAGCGGTAGCTGACACCGCGGCTCCTAGTTCATCCTTGGGGACCCACGAGCTGAAAAGTACTGTTTTGACAGCACTCAAGGAGGTCGCATACGAGAACATCAAGACGTTGGTGCAAGAAACATACAAGAAGAACGGCGTTGAAATATCAGCACAAGAAGTAGCAGACATCTCTAGCCTGAGCTGCGAAATGGCAGCTGTGGATATCGCAGAGGTGTATTCACCAAAGCGATTCACCGCACTGGCCGAACAGTTCAAACTAAGGCCAGGCTTTGCAATAGACCTGAGTGAGAAGAAGGCAGATGGAGAGTTTTGGAACCTCAACAAGCCAGCAGATGTTGAGGAGCTTCACAACTTGTTGGAGAAAGACGAACCATTGTTGCTCACAGGTTCGCCACCATGCAACTTGTTTTCGAGACTGCAATACATCTCATGGTACAAGTTGCCACCAGAAGTTCGAGAGAAGAGAATGAAGGAGGCATTGCATCACCTCCACACGGCGTGTGACGCTTATGAGGTACAGCTTAACGCTGGTAGATACTTTCTACACGAAGCGCCGTGGTCAGCTTCGAGCTGGAATGATGAAAGAGTAGAGCGGATTGCATCAAGAGATGATGTCTACACAGTCTGCGGTCCCATGTGTAAGTGGGGAATGCAAGCCACAGATCGCAGAGGTTTGCAAGGAAACGGCTATGTCAGAAAAGAAACGGGCTGGATGACCAATCATCCAGGACTAGCCGAACTGTTGCAAACAGAGTGCACTAACGAGACAGGAGGTGCACCTTGGCATAGACACATCCACCTCATAGGTGGAATAGCAAGACAGGCTGCACAGTATCCGCCCAAGCTGGTACGTGCAGTACTCAAGTGTTTGAAAAACGAACTGGAATCAAAAGGAGAACTTAGTGCAGTCGAGGCGCAAAACGCCGGACCAATAGCAGAAGTTCCACTGATCGATCCACGATTTGAGGAGATGTTTGTGGACGATGTGAACGGCGGCATTTTGCCGACCGAAGAAGTCAAGAAGGCAAGGCAGAAGGAAATGGATTACCTGCACAAGCAGGGAGTGTACAAGGTTGTACCAATAGAAGAATGTTTCACTGAAACGGGCAGAAAGCCCATTGGCGTCCGATGGATAGACACCAACAAAGGTGATCCGGACAATCCGAACTTCCGGAGTCGTTTAGTAGTCCGGGAGATTAAGGCAGCTAAGAAACCTGAAGAGCAGCTGCCAGCCAATTTGCTTTTTAGCAGCACACCGCCGCTTGAAGCGATGCGGCTGCTGTGTTCGCTCTATGCAACAAAGCAAAGGTCAATCCATGGTAGAAAATTGAAAATGGCATTGTGGGACATTTCAAGAGCCCACTTTTATGGTACTCCAAAGCGGAAGATTTACATCGAGCTGCCAAGTGAAGAGCCGGCAGCCGAGGGAGGCAAGATGTGTGGATTGCTCGAGAAGAGCATGTATGGCACACAAGATGCTCCGAGTATATGGCAGAGTCATTACTCACAGATCCTGATAGATGCAGGGTACCAGCGTGGTAGATCGAATGCTTCAGTATTCTACCACCCAGTCTTGGATTGTAGAATCATGATCCATGGAGACGATTTCCTAGCTCTCGGGGATCGGCCGGCACTGGCCGAACTGGAGAGTCTTCTGAAGAAGAACTATGAGCTGAAATGTCTCGGAGTGATGGGCGATGAGCCCGGAGATGCGAGAGAAGTTCATTTCTTGAACCGCCTGATCCGTTGTGGGACTCAAAACAACGGTGAATCAGCAATATGGATAGAACCAGACAGGAGGCACGTTGACCTCCTGATCCAGAGCCTAGGACTGGAGCATGCCAAAGGCGCTGAGACTCCAGACCTCAAGAAATCAGTAGACCAGCAGATGCTAGAGGCAAGAAGCCCAGCATTACCAAAAGAGCAGCAGTCACTATACCGGTCAGCGGTGATGCGAGCAGCTTACCTCTCGCAGGACCGCCCTGACATTGGCCACGCAGTCAAGAACTTGGCGAGGCGAATGGTTCAGCCTACAGAGGCTAGCCTAACGGATCTCAAAAGACTTGTGAGGTACTTGATCCGATTCCCTGACATTGGACAAGTGTTTACAAAGCAGACGTTGCCTGAGAAGTTAACTATCCAAGTTGATGCAGATCATGGCGGAGATGCCGTGACAAGACGTTCGACAACGGGAATGTTAGCTTTCTTTGGGAGACACGTGCTCAAACATAGTTCCAACGTTCAGAGCACTATTGCTCTGTCCACAGGAGAATCAGAGTATTATGCGCTTGTCAAAGGAGGTTCGACAGGGTTGGGACTTCAGTCCCTACTGGCAGACTTTGGAATAGAAACCAGAGTCGTAATAGAAAGTGACAGCAATGCTGCAAAAGGGACGGTGAACCGAGTCGGGCTCGGGAAAGCTCGCCACATACAGACTCGTTATTTGTGGTTACAAGAACGAGTGGCGGAAGGCCATCTGACAGTCCATCACGTAGCAGGAAAGAAGAACAAGTCAGATGTGTTGACGAAGCCCGTACCGGGAGTCCAGATGAAGCAAACGATGGAAAAATCCGGCTACCTCTACTTGTCAAGTAGGAGTAAAGGCCAACTCAACTTGCTGAAATAGAGCAAGGTCCCTGGCCAAGCTCCACTACCTATTACCTCAAGTTCGACATCTGAGAGCCGGGAACTAGATTCCTTTGCGAGTGTAGTAAACCCACTCTTCAAGGAAGGAGGAGTGAAGACATGTTAGTACTTTATATATAACCTCTATGTGCAGTGTATAGATCCAGGGGTTAGTATGAGCCCGATGTTACTTTTGGCTCAAGAAACAAGGAGCGCCGTCGCTCGATATCCTGTTTTGAATATATATATATATATGTATATATACATATATCAAAGTTCCAGAAGGATATGCCCTTTAGCAAATTAACAACATAGGGAAGGTATGGAAAGTCCACGGCATACACACACACACATATATATATATATACACTTCTTTTTTTTCTAGGGAAACTATGGCTTTTCATTCACTAGCTGGAGCGGCTTACCCCAGCACCCATTGAGGCTACGAATGCTCTGGAGCTATCACCAGTGCATACGGAGTCGCTTAGATGAACTGGTCCATGAACATGTTCCCAGAAATCTCAAGACAAATGAGATTAATGATATTAGATTTGATCCAATCATCCCATCAGCCTAATATTAAAATATATTAAACACCCCATAAATAAATGGTCCCAATGAAATGTGGAAATTCACTATATCCACCATGGTTGCTACGGGGATGTTTAATATTAGGGGGAAGGGATTACTACCATTGCGTCCAGAGGGGATGACTTAACTCATCTGAACGAAAAAAACTCCACCCATGTCGCCCAAAAAATGCCAGAGCCAATCGCTAAGCCATGCAATCGATTACTGCTTTATAATTCAGATTAAAATTCCAGTAAAATATTAACCATAGATTATATCATAATATATCCTTATACATATATACAAAGACACCATATGTATGGTATATATATATATAAATAAAGAAATAAATATATATAAATCAATATAGATATATATCCATATAAAAATATGACAATCTTCACCCCGTGGTCCCCAACAAAAACCTATGCTTTTCTCGGTCAGGTTTCCCCGGGCCCTGGCCAAGTCGGCGCACATCGATTCGGAGGCCGTGGAGACGGCCTGCGCCGCGCTGGCGGTGAACGTGCTGAAGGGTCAGCTGGCGGAGAAATGGTGGTTTAATGGTGGTAAAAAATGGTGGTTTCATGGGGTTTTACCAACAAAATGGTGGTTTTAATGGGATTTACCATCTGGTTATGACTAACATAGCCATGGTATAGATGGCCCATAGAAATAGATGGTTTACCTATTGAAAATGGTGATTTTCCATGGCTATGTTAGATAACAAGATGGTAATAGTATCCCATCATGGATGGGTCCCAAGTTTTGGATATCTGAAAAATATCTTAAATCATCTTACCCATACTTGGATCTATAGGGTGGGATGGGAAATGGATCATTATAGTATGTCTGATTGAACTGATTATACTATATCTGACTACTGACTATAATCTTGTGGATGATAAGGAAATCATCTATAGTATGGATGAGTAAGCCTATAAATCGATCCACCCGAAATAGGTTGGAAGATAGAATGTTATGGAATTGATTGGCGGGGAAAGCAACGTAAATCCATTATAAATGGAGGTTTGAGTAGGGACAGAATCTATAATACATGCGTGAATATGTAAGCAGTGGCTGCTAAACCCCTGTTGGTTGATGATTAGTTCGGGGATTATACTAGCCAATCTATTTTTTGGGGGATTATAATGGCCCAAGAGGAGAATCCCGTTCTTAACCAACCAGCACAATGGAATGTCAGAGGGATTTTGAGAAATGCTCATATGCGAATCTTGGATGGAATCATAAGTTCATATATATTTTAGTTCTCGAAGGGAAACGGACGGGAATGGGAATCATCAACTTGAGTTTTCACCTTAAGTTAAACGATGGCCATCTTGGCCGTTTGGGGGCCACCTTGAAGAAATATGTTTGGTGGTTGATGTTCAGTTTTCGCCAGTTCGTTTTATCCCCCGACCCCAACTGAGCTGCCTAATGGGTTTGTGGTGGATATATTTGTTGTTAAATCTTTAGTTGGATGGGTGAAATTGAGCCGACTTATCCCGTGGGGGGGTCCCGCATTGTAGATGAGCTGTTGAACATACCCTCGTTGGTTGGTCGGTCTCTAGAATTAGTGGGTTTTAACATCATAATAACTATATAATAAATTTCATGGGGGTCTGTGAGCGAACCCACACTAGAAATGAACATTGCCTAATGTGGGCCTACAACCAGTTCCCTCTTGTCCCCTGCTCTTCACATCAAAATAGTTGGTGCTCATGGATGTTCATCAAGACTTGCAACGTATACTGATAGATTTGCTACCATCTGCATTGAACCTAGCACCCATGCGGATCCCGGCGGCAAGGCAATGTAGATCAGGTAGATGCTTTGATGGTGGTGCTCAAATCTATGATGCCCCCGAGTGACCCTTGGAATGGCATTTGGGATCATTGGGGGCATCCGGGCATCGGATCATCGGATGCAGCATCTCTTAAAACCAACAACCGTCCCAAAAATCAAGCTCCGAACAGCGTTTTCTTCAGATTTCCAGCCACAAAACAAAGGAACATCATGGAAGATCTGCAAATTAGCACATCACTTTCCAGAACTCATACCAACTTAGATCATCTCCTGCTGCATGTTTTTTTTTTCTAGGTATCTAAGGTATCCTAAGCTCTCCTCAGCCACGGCTCTTTTCGCCAGGAGGGCGCGCAGAAAGTTCGCGGACCTCCGCCGGACGCGACGCTGGAGAAGTCAGAGTTGGTGCCCTGGAAAATCCTTCAAAACGTCCGGTCGGGGAGGCGGTTGGGATTGTACCTTGGGTAGGGATACTCATGTGGATTTATTTGGTTTAATTAATATTAATTAATAATGTTTAAGATTGATAATCCCACTTTTTTGTTCGAAATCCTTGGGTAATGTGGTGTTAATATGGTTCAATAAGGATAACATTGGGATAATCGTGTTATATTCATGGATTTAACCATCTAAAGAATTATATATATATATGCAGTTGGAATACAGTGTGGGTAGAATGGGATATGTAACCTATGATCTGGTTGAGGATCCATTGTTTGTTTTTTTTCTGAAAATAGGATGCCTTTAAATCCACTTGATTCTCATCGTTTTCCCTTTGAAAACATATGACACCACTATTTGGGAAGTACGTACCCCATTTCAGAAACCCATCTAGCATCATTTAACCACTTAGTATTTACCAATTATTGCTGGGGATGCCATATGACCCTTTTTTATTTACTTGAACAACAACAAGCAACCATCAAATATACATTGATCATTTCTAGTCCAATGTTTTTGTCGGTTAAAAGCATATCGCTTTCCAAAGTTGGTGACTTGATCAGTCGCGACCCAGCAGTGCCGTCCATGTTGCCAGTCGTTAATTGATATGACCTAAATTCACTGAAAGAGAAATACCTACTGTCCATCCATCATTCATCAGTGTCCTCCCCTTACAACATTGACCGTGGATAAAGTATCATCCGTCATCCATACATCAACAGCAAAACCCTTAATCCTTAACCATCATTCATCCATCGTCCACCAGGTTTTCCCCTAAACAAGTTATGCGCAATAGCTCTCAGAAACCATCATGATCCATATCACGTCTGAAATCAATCTAATCTATCCATCATCCATCATGTCTCCCCCCCTCCCCCTGCCGGCAAAAAAAACACTCATGAAACATGACCTATGTAGTATGACAGCCTTATACTGTACATTCCCTCTACGAATGACATATTTGTGTATATCATATTTATCGTCTCACCATCCTATCATCCCATTATTCATCAATATACATGCATCTATTGAACTCTCTGAGATGGCGATGGAGGGAGAGATATTTTAGATTCTATGGATATATGTATACACACACCTATATATATATATATGTACTCGTACGTAATATGTACGTATCACCAACCCTTGAGTCCTTCAAAAGCAAGCATGGCTCATCCCAGGTGTGGTCGGAGCACGACTACATGTCGGGACCCCAGGAGAACCTCCGCGTGCTGCAGAGCTACGAAGCCGAGTACGCCAAACGCGTGGCCTTCGCGGAGGAAGGCTTTCGAGATCCCAAGGTCTTGGCGGGTGACCTGGCCATGGCCAATTTTTCTTTTGGTGGTTTAGGCTGGATCAGGTTTTTTTCGATTAGTGTATTGTCCCTTTTACATTGATATACTGTACAAATACACACAAACAGACAGTATATACTGTAAGTATACTGTATATACATGTGTTTTTCAAAGTATATAAATTCCTTGCCTTTTTGATTAAATGACACACATGGATACAAAATTGGCGTTTTGGGCTAGAGATGAACATGGGGTTCCAACCATGGAAAATGCTGAGTCTTCAGGGGAGGCACCGGGGGAGTGGAAGTTGGAGGATCCTCATGGGAAAACAGCAGGAAATCTGTTTTTATTTTTTTTGTCCCGAAGGCTTGGATTGGAATAATGCTATTCCTTAGCCAGGGAAGATCTTAGCCCGTCTATCGGAATCTTATGTCACTGACAAATTGGGTAGCACAGCTCCAAACCATTCGAAGCCCCGGCAAAAATGTTTCGGTAAGAGCGCCACTAAAAAGTGGAGTTTCCATGTTTTTAAAACCACCTCTGGGAACGTAAGCAACGATCATCCCTAAAGCCGGAAGGCTGTGAAGGATGACCACTTTGAGGACCATCCTGTAGATAGTCAGCCAGTCATAATTGGATCCCTGTGGTAAACTAACAGTTTGCTCTGGAAAATGGCAATTTCATTAGTTCGATGAAGCGAAATTAAGTATGGTGATTTTCAATCGTCATGTTGTATTTACAGAGGGTAAAAATTCTGTATAATATATATATATAAATATATATATATATAATGGTTACAAGTGGCATCACAACAGAGTGACTAGCAAACATCAATGTAGCATGAACGACTACCTACATCGGAGGACAAGGAGAAACACAGTCTAGACCCTTCTGGCCAATGAATTCTGGCCATGTTGCTATTAGTCTAGTGCTCATCAGTTTTTTTCACATGTTGACTGGTAAGATGGCTGGATGACATGTGAATATACCCTCTGGTTATTTAACATATCCATGGAAGCCATGGCCCATAGAAATAGATGGTTTATCAGGGTTTACCTATTAAAAATGGGTGGATTTTCCATGGCTATGTTAGCCATAACCAGATGGATGACACGTGGAATGCATTGATTGGGCCGAGGGGCCTTGGATTTGGCCGTGGCGTACTTGAAGAACTATGCGGTGGACAAGGCCGATGCCTTGTATACGGCCACCGAACCCTTCTGCAACGCGGTGACGAAGAAAAACGTTTGGGACGAAGTCTGAGGTTCGTTTGGATTCATGATCATATGATATCATATGCTTATAGGATGTCATCAAGACCTTCATTAATCAAGTACAGTTGTTGGCGATCCAACCAACTAATGATAATGCAAAGCGATGTGACAATACATGCAAATAATTACTTGCTTAAATTGACCATCCATGCTTGCTAACAGGGTCATGAACAGGTTAAGCTGGGTTTCCAGTAAGAGCCATCAACAGTGTCATGGGTCCAGGTTTGAACCATGTTGATGCATGATTGACATTCCTACTGGTTCAGTTGCCCAACCACATGATAGCTGACCTTTTATATGTGATGTTGGACATGTTTGGACTCTTACCTCAAAAGTGGAATGTAGAATTAATGACGGTCTCAAGCTTCAGTTTGTTGTTGCATCATTCTTGGAGGTGACAAAGGTGCCATGAGCACGAGCACTGAAAACCCTCTGACTCCTGGTCGGCTCAAAGATAAAAGGGATATGTCCGGGGGGTTCTTCCTACTGCTGCACTTGTGGCATCAAACAACAACTGTGTATCTAGTGGTGGTTGGGTTCAGACCTGCCAGATATTGTGCGTATGTACAAATGAATAAATAAATAAATATATATATATATACATATTGATTATATATATAATTATATACATACACATGCATACACACTCACATGTACAGCCGTATATATTATGTCAATAACATAATAAAACTATTTGGATACCTGTTGTACATTATACGTTGCATACATATGTGTATATATATATATGTACATTTCAATAGTTTACTATTATTATGCAGCTATTGAATAGATGTCAGTAGATATTAGGATGATGGCTTGCAGGTATGGAGCGAGGCCTGCCCTGGGACGTGAAATGGCTACAGGACTTCAGCTGTGGCCAAACACCACCTAACCTGCGCAGTGAAGTCGTAGTTTTCTTGGTTAAGTTAAAACCACCGTTCTTGTGGGTGAAACATGGTGAAACCATTTGGTTTCTTGAGAATTGCTTGAATCAACCGGTTTTCGAAGCTGAGCCAACTGTAAGCAAAGACCGAGGTATCAGCCACAAAAATGTCCCTTCAACTCAGCTATATGCTTGGTTTCTGGATGAAAAAACCAAGTAATCCCCATTTGTTTCCCATGATTTCCCCATATTTCTGTGATATCCCGGAGATATTCCCATTATTTTCCACCCATTTCCCATGGATTTCACATGACCTTCCGGAGAAACCGCCCGTACAAGGACTGCGCCACGCTGCGCTGCAAGCAGCAGCGCATGCCCGAGGCCGCCGTGATGCTGGAGGAAGTGGCCAAAAGGACGCCGCCGCACCCGGCCACCTTGCGGCTGGGACGACATGACTTGGGGAGCTGCCGGGGGGGGGCATAGATGCATAACGGGTTTGTTAGAAAATACACACATATATATATATACTGTATATCCTGTATATAACATATATATATATAGTAATCATAATGTATAATATATATATATATATATAATTAATGTAGTATATCTAACGTTCAGTATGTATATAATATAATTATGTTTTTTGTTGTGCAGCGCGGGACTGTAGTAGTTGTTTTTCAATCATGTATGATCATTAATAACTAACTATTTTTGATTTTATTTGTTGTCATGTTTATGTAAAGGTATGTGTATAGTTACAAGGTGGCCCCCTAGACAGCTAAGTTGGTTATGCCTACATAGGTTAACTCACGTTTATGGAGGATGTAGCTATTGTTTTGCGGATTATAAACCAATCTACAACTGGGGCCACCACCTTATATATCTAAAGTATACCTGGACTCCCGGCAACGGCCTGTATGAGTCGGTTAGAGCTGCAGTCACTTATTGCACCAGAGTAGGAAGGTGGTGATGAAGGGCAACTTTCAAGGAAGACCCTAGGACTGGAATGGGGAAAGGGCTATATTTGTAAGAAGCAAAACCATCCCAAATAGAAAGGACAATGCCACTCTTAAGAATTGGTGAAAGAAATTGGTTGTGATAGCTTCTTAGTCACTAGATTCACTAGATATGCATAGATAGATAGATGCATAAGAACAAGTAGCTGAATGAAGTATCAATAGATCAATAGTAAATCAAATTACAGTGAAGAAATGAACATATATAGATGAAAATGCGCTGTAGATCACTTTAGCATGATTCCAGAATTCTTTTTGCCCACCCAGGAACAACCTGGGTACTGTCTACAACATGATGCGTGACCACGAGAAGGCACAGGAGTACTTCTTGGCCGCGCAGCAGGTGGCGGGTCATGATGAGCCCGACAAGAACGACCTGTGGAACATGGGCATCGTCCGCTGGCAGGAAATGGCAGGGAGGGAAGTAAACATAGTAAAAGCGGCAAACTTAGGATAACTTCGGGATATTTCGTCTGCTGAAAATGTGGATAAAAAGGAAGCATGGTGGCACATGGCTCAAAATTTGAGTTTTTGTTTGATTTTTTGGAGGGCTAACCGCTGTTGAAGCACCAAAAGTGAGCCATCTCCCTTTTTGCATGGGATCCTCCATGTCCATAAACCAAGGCTAAGAAGCACCTGAGATACTACGACGAGGCCTTGCCAATGTTGTTGAAGGCCTTAGAGGCCTGGACGGGGAGGACCTGTCAGTAACCTGCTGGCTTGGGAGTCCAGATGCTTTCAATGTGCGTGTTTTTTTTTTAATGCCTCTTGGCAACTATCAGTTGATTTGTGAATATACATATATATATATGGATAGCCAACATATGCCAGTAGCTTGTATCGATTGAGCTTATTTTTGTTTCTTCCATGATTCACATGTCACATTGAGATCCGTGGAGGCCTGGAAAGTGGAAGAGCCCGATGATGATGTCACGATTGCGAAGCTCCACGATACCGTGGGAAGTGTCTGGGTCCAGTCGAAGATGCCCAGTTGGGATCCATTGTTGGGATCTTGGGGATGCAGTTGGGATAAACTCATGGGGATAACCATTGTTCTAATCCCCATAAGTTGGGATATACCCTCTGGTAAACTAACATAACTATGGAAAATCACCATTTTTCATGGGAAATTCACTATTAATGGTAATTTTCCATGGTTATGTTAAATTAACCAGGGGATACCCACTACAACATATTCACTTGCCACTGGAACTGCACCCCAAGATGGCTGTTTGGTAAAGATGTAGGGCTGTTGTTTCAATGCACTGGAAATGTGCGGAGCTCTTCACCGAGGGATCATGTCATCCCAAACATCGGGTATGGGGAACATTTGCCGCCGTAAACACTTGGTTGACTACCGTTTCATACATCAGTGAGCTACACCTGCTGACTGTAGCTGTAGTTCCGAAATCTCCTGGCTTCACTCCAACTCTCATTGCTTCTGTTTTGCTGTCTGGGCGGCGGCAGGGAACCCCGACCGTTTGTAGCTGTCCCTCAAATTCACGCATCTCCTCCATTCTCCTCCTTTTCTTGCTTTCATTTTTTTTGCTTGTAGACCTGCCATTTCTTCCTCTAAGTGGCCGGTGGTTTCAAACCTGCATTTCAATGTCCATTTACCTGGGATGATGATACCACCTTAGTCATTCTTTTCCGTGAAGCCACCAGTACTGCAAACATCTCTTGGCTGGTGCTATCTGTATCGATTTGTTTCTAAGCTGACTTATATGTTTATTTTGGTGTTTTTTCGTGCTTTAGGCGTACATACCGTAATGACCCGTATATCTTCTGGCTATTTCTGGCTGCTGAAGCGTTTGTTTCCGAGGCTGCTTTGACCTCATGGGTAGATATGAGGAATCCGTGGACCAATTTGCCTCCGCCCGGATGCTCTTTGGGCGCAGCATTGGCGCAGACAGTCCTTTGTACGGCAGTGCTTGTGCTTCTTGGCCTTGGCTGCGACGGGAGGGTAACCCTTACGTTGGGGACAAGGGATCAGATTTGTTCCTGTTTTTTTTCTGGGGGGTTGACTTGTGCATTAGCCAAATGTGCCATGGTCAATAGTTGAATTCTAAAGCCATATTGGGGGTCATCAATCCATGAAGTTCGGGATTTACTTGCCCAGCGCGTTTGGATTCCCATTAGGGATGACCATAAACCATGGCATAAATGATGTGAAAGGGACAAACTGTACGATCAACTGCTTGAAAACTGAATGTCCAAAGCAATTTGCGGTTTATGCGTGGAAACAGATTGTATGTTTACCACATGGGTCAAACATTTTGTGCGCCTGGGTGTTTATATTGTTTATGATAATGTCAAGGATTTGTTTAAGGGATGTTCTGTTTGAAGCAGCTCAGAGTCAACCGGAAAAGCCCGAAAATCCTTACTGCAACGTATACTCATAGAGGTGTGACTTTGACCCTCCAGCTGTGTCGGCTCCCACTAACATTTTAACCCAATGGTTGAATAAACAGCGATTTTGTTCTCAACAAAAAGATGTGGAATTTGTTGATCACTTAGCATCCTTCCTTCAACATTCTCGTCCGGTAAAGAAAAAACATCCCCAGAAGTGCAACCCCAGATACTTGGTAAAATAATCAGTGTTTGTGGTATAACGTGTTCCAACCCAGCTCATGGGAAAACTCAGGAATCAGGGACTCAACTAGAACCAGAAACCAAGAACGAATGGGGTTTCCAGGCTCCATCCAGTTCCGTATCCTCCAATCCTCTGGTCCTCTCCGGTCGCCCAGGAGGGATTGACCAAAGCCTTGATGCACGCAGGGCGCTATGCGGAGGGCTTCGATCGACTGGAAGAGACCTTTCTGAACCAGGCGCGAAGGGCCGGCCCGGTGGCTCACTCAACTGGGATCATTCGGGAGGTGGATCGGACCATCAAATATTCTGGACCCATCAACAAAGATAACAAAGGAAGTGTTTGACCATAAAATTGGGCTAACAGATGAACTTTTGGTGGATATTTATAATTGGCCATTATATTAAATTTATTAAATCACAGGCAAGTATAAAACGAAAGGTTTTATCAACCTGTCAATTTTCCAGCATTTATATTGGGTTTGCTGCCATTTACCATCATTTACCACATTTGGGGACGTCACCTGACCAAGACTTTTGGGGAATCATGTTTTTTTTTGCTGCGCATTGTGAAAATTCATCATGACCTGATGAGTCACCGACACTGGATGTTCAATAGTTACAAAGAGAGTAAGGGAAATTTGAACGGATTTGTGATGGCAAATCCCAAGGTTTCCAAAGATATCCCTTCAAATTCTGTGACATCCGCCGAACTCCACTCAGAATCCCAATTTTGAAACTGAAAGTCACTGGCTGCTGCTTTGAGGCTTTTATTATTAGTTATTGAACTAAAGTAGTGTCACTATGTGTCACTGATAGGCCACTTAATTCTGGTTCATCTGTTTTGGAAAGAGTTGCCAGCTAGGATAGCTGGCATCATTTGAGACGCTCCTTCATGCAGTTTAACAGTTTTAATATATCTACCATGCACCCAATCGGCCAAGTTTTGTTTACCAACTTAGCTAACAAACTGAGGCATTACATTACAACATATTACATTGACATTGCATCCCCGTGATGTTCCCAGTACATCTCCCTGATGCTTGGCTCATGGTGAAATCGACTCGCGAGGCTCAAAAAGATGCCATTCATCCCACGCCCGTTTTCGAACTCTTGGGCCTTGCTTTGGAGGACTTTGTGGATAAGGCCATGGAGAGAACAGGGAGGGCCATGGGTAATGGACACGTCATGGAAATATCATGGAACTATATTTCATTATATTTCATAGAACCATGCAAGATACAACCATACTGTATCATCTATAGTTTATACTTAATGTGCATATTGTGGACATAGTTTATTATAGTTCGGAGCCTTGGAATGCTCAACACCCCACTTTGGTTGATGATTGATTGCTTGGCCGGATTGAGAACTAGGACTAGGAGGGGCCTACCATCTTTCAGCAATTAAATGTTTGAAGGAAAACTGCAACATTCAAAATGTGGTCTCGAATAATTAGACTGAATCATCAGGCCACCCACCAGAATGGCTGAAGTTGGAATAATCGGCCCAGATCCAAGTTGTTCATCAATATATTCTCAAGAAGTCTTAGATTTGAAGCCGACCTTTTCAAGGTGCTCCGTTACATAACTTGCGAGAAGCATAAACACCGCGATAGTACGCTATAGTATCATTGTCTGTGAACACACTCACACACACATGTATGTATTTCTAGAGATATATACATACACACACAGATACATACATATATGTATATATATACACACATAATCTGTATATCTCTGTGTGTATGCAGGGATTATTTTGAACAAACCACCCCAGATGTTTGACCTCTCCAGGGCGGCATGGACGTCATGGAGCTGACCCGCTTAGAAGCGCCCATGGAAATCGCGGTGCGCCGTGGGGAATTCATGGACTGGGAATGGTTTATTGTACCAAACATATGGAAAGGGAATGTATTAATCAATCAAAATCCTTCAATCTTGGAAGGTTTAAATACTATTTATCCTTGGAAAGTTTGGATTGAAGGATTTGGAAGGTATTTTCAAAAGTATGGAAAGGGTAGAGTGAAATTTACGATTGTGCAAAAAGGATCAAAAAGGAAGGAAATCCTTCAAATCCTTCCTGGAAGGATGTCCTATGGTGTGTTGTCAGGTTTCTACCCTCCACCCAAGTAACATCAAGTAACCCCCTGTTGGAATGCTTTGACCGTTGGGTCCAAGTGAAGGGTGCTCAAAATGTGTCCGCAAGGCGCCCGTTTTTCTGCCAACCATGCGGTCCTTTTGACCGCCGAGAATTTTAATCATTCCCACTGGTTGGCCTTCAACAAAAAACCTGACAAGATTTGGGCGTGTGCGAAAAATATGGTATTCCCTTCCATCCCTTGGTTATCATTATATATTCATCATTAAATCGAGTGAATATGAAATACTTAGAAATTTCACCTGAGAAGAGGCTGCTTTCTCATTATTGTCCCGATCAAATTGCCATATATAAAAGCCCTTGGTTTCCCGGGGTCCGAAACCTTGGGCCCTGAGAGTCAGTCTGGGAGGTCAAGAACATGGTCTACCGCGGCCTGGACCAAGATGGCAATGCTGGTGTCGTCTTCGAAAGGATGGCGCAAGTACTTCTCAGATGTCGCGTCGATGGCGATGATGGCGATGGGCAAAATGGGCGGAGTTGAAATGCTCTTCTTGGTGATAGAGGCCCTAATTGCGATATCATTTGGTGGGGAATGAGATTTAAGGTTGATACGCTGCGATGATTTAAAATAGCTATGGACAATGGCCCTTTTTAGTTTGATGCTTCAGCTATTTAAAAAAAAATGTGAGTTCATGTGAGTGCCCATGGCAACCGTTAAATTACCAGGGTGGCAGTTGAATAAACCTTGGCCAGTGGGAGATGGTCTTGTTTGGAACGCGTTTTGGGTGGAATTCTGCATGTTTATTCAATCATGTACACGTAGATAGGATAGGATAGGATAGATAGGATTGGATAGGATAGGATAGAACATAATAGAATAGAATAGAGTAGGATAGATTGGGTAAGATAGATAGGTTAAATCGAGTAGATATATTAGATAGGTTAGGTAGATTATATAGATTAGCGATATTAGATAGGTTAGATATATTATATATATATATATTAGATAGGTTAGATAGATTAAATAGTTTAGATAGATAAGATATAGATAAGACACATAAGATGGATAAGATGTAGGATTTAGATACAATAGATGAGATAGATAAAAATAAGAAAGAACGACAGCTGGCTAGGTAGGTAGGTCGGTAGGTAGGTAGGTAGACAGAGACAGAGACAGAGACAGAGACAGGTCAGACAGACACATAGATCATAGTTAGATAGATAGATGGATAGATAGGTAGAAAGATAGATAGACAGACAGAGAGGCAGGCAGACAAACAGACAGACAGACAGACAGATAGATATCTTCGGTTTTGCGCTTAGCTAAGATCATGCATGTGTTCGGCTGGTGGGCAGCGCCTGAATCAAAAGCAACACAGTTATGGATGCTGCGGCCAAGGGCAAAGTATGCTTCATGCAAGTCTCAGCAACAAAGACTGTGATGGAACCAACACAAATAGGAAGAGGAAACCGGTGCCCAACAATAGATGTAATCGTGGTCATGGTGGTAAATTCCCAAAGAGGCAAATCCAACCAGATGATAGCAAATCTGTGGCTGGCCTCACCATAAGTCATGACATGTTTCCATCTAAGGCAGCATGGCACAAGGTGATGAGCAGCGGCAGAAGGAGCTGGGTGCATTTTTTGAATGACTTGAAAGACTGGAACTATCCTAATGACCAAACTACAACCTACACACAATATCACACAATTAGGTACATGTTTTTGTAGCCAGCTAGCTGCACACAAGGGTTTAGAATTACTTTTAAAAGTACATGATGTTGATGTGTTTGTATATATTTCAGGCTACATGGTTGTCATACAATACGTATTCGATCATGTTTGGGCAACCCTGAGTACCTACGGAAATCTATCGTATACCGTATACCATCTAAATATTTTACGTCTTGACACATGTTTTGATCTACACACATGTATATATATAAATATAATATGTACATATTTACTACACTTATGCATGCCATAGACATTGTTCATATACTATCCAACTCTATCCATCCATCCATCTGTCATACGCCATCGGCAGGACGCCGCCCGGCGGCGACAGGTGGCCCGCAGCTTGTTGCAGCGCTCCAAGCCCTTGGTGGATGCCACAACGCAGTCCGGGGAGGTCCGCGCATGTCCGCGCCGGTCCTGGGAGGTGAAAGATGTCCACATCTACAGTTGTGAGTATTTAGTCATTTATATATAGGATGTAAAATCGTGTAGAATCCCATAGAAATAACCAGTTATAACTCATAAATGGCCATAACTGTTTGAAAAACATGATTTTGTTTCCGTGATTTAACCATGAAACCTCTAGGGTAGTATGGTAAATGATGATTGGTTGAGGATTACAGTGATCATTGGTTGATGAACTGAAGATGATTGCAATTCCTTAATCAACCAACCAGTAGAGAGGGGATTTTCCATGATTTTCCAATAGCTTGCGCAGGCTAAAAAGGTCATACAGTACCATTCGCTGATCAAAAGTGGCACAGTACCAAACCAAAGCTGGACTTTAAACCACAGAAATAGGGGGTAGGAAGAAACAATTATGTGCAGATATAATCCAAATATCAAGGGGGTGTAAAGGATTATATCACCAACAATTTGATGTTTGGGTTGTCCCTATTTCTAGGCTAAGAAATCATCATGTTAATGGGGAATGTGATGACAAACCATTCGATTTTCGTGTGATTTTTTTCAGGATGCGGAATTGACCGGTCCAACATGTGGATTTATTGAAGTGGATCAATTTGAGACAACACAAAGGGCTATTCATGACATTTCATGACTATTGACTTATCAATAAATTATATGATGACTATATAATTTCAGTAAGCAGGTTCTTTTTCAAAAACAACTTGGAGTTTGAAGTCAGCGAATCAGGCTCAACGATGTCATAATTGGATGCATGATTGATTTAAATTGAGACTCAGCTACTAAATGGCATTTCAATGGCCCGCATCACATGCTGGCGACTGGCATGGCAGGCTGACTTGAATCACATTAGCGCACTGATCGACATGGAGCTTCAGGTTTTGGACACGCAGGACGTGCGTCGATGGGCTGATGGGGAGAGCATGGGAACTCAGTGGGAACCAATGGAGTACCTGCGAGTTGCCGCTTGAAGATAAGGATGCATCATGTTTAACTAATGCATTCTCTTCTTCCCAAGGAAAGCCTCAGTTCATAAAGTTTCTGTGATGTGCACATGGGTCATTTTGACTCAGTTTCTTCTGGTGAATTCCCACACCTGTCAACTCCCTAAATCCCCAACTTCTGCAGGACTCGATCTACAGAAGGGCCTTAGATTCTGCAGGTGCTACGCCTGCGTTGACTTATTGAGACCCACTGCGGTCAGTGGACTGCACGTGCCGTTCCGTTCGAAAAGTCCTCATTGGGCATTTCTGAGCGTACTTGGGGGATCTTGGGGGTGCACTTGATGGGAATAAAAATACGCGCTAGCCGCTAGCTGCATATGTCCACAAAAATCACTGGATCCCTTAACCTGCATGGGTTTTTGAGCCCAAAATCACCCCCCCCCGTGACATTTTTTCAGAGTCGGTCCAGTCTCAGGTTGTCGTCCATTCGCAACTGTCCCGATGTAGTGGGACCATAGAATGGGTGATGGGAGTCTCATGGCTTCAGATGGGATCCCACATTTTTTGATCATGAGTTTGTTGCCACCTTTCCTCGCTGGATTTGGTATCCCGACAACAGTAAACCTCGCTGGATAACTGAGTTCTCCTTGCCTGTGCATTTTAGCCCCCCTGCTATGATTTCGGTGCAGAATACGATTGCTATTGTGGACTTTCTTTCGAATATCCAATGGAGCCTGGATGATGGTTTTGCGACTTCGTTTCTTGAGCTTGCATATCATGCCTGGGAAGTTGGTGTGCGCCTTGAAAACGTCCAACCCCATCCAAGTGTTTATTCCACCTTGATTCGGAAAGCAATTAACTTTTGCAACCGAAGATTTCCTGATGTGCCTGTCCACCCAGGGATCATAAAAACCACGTGCTCAGGGAACGGTAAAACGCATCCAAGCGGGTACATTGCTGGTGCCGAATCTAATATGCCCATTAGTGCAAGAAAGTCCTTGGCACTTGCTTTCCAGCAGGGTCGCAATCAGCATCTGACTAGGTGGGATTTCCCCTTTTAATGGTTTTGGTGTCAAGGTTGGGTTTGCATGTTCATTCCGATGAGACCAACACGGTCTAACTTTCTGAGCCCCTCATGCGTCGCGAGCGCATGAGCAGCAGTCGTCCGCACTTCTGCATGGTGTGAAACAAAACAACCAATTTTTTTTGACTTAGTTTGAAATATCAGACTTGGAATCTATTTAAGGCAAAAAGGTTGCTATCTACTTGGGTTTTCTTTGTTAAAATAGGCTACCCCATTCCATCCACTGCTACATCATCATGGTCTTATTGCGAAAGAGCCAGAATTTGAGGTATACCGGGTACTGGGTACAGCACTCGTATGAGGTATACCCTTTGCTCAGACTCACACCAACATCAGATTGTTGATTATATCATATCCACCGAATTACATCCTCATGTTACCTCCATGTATAGCTACTATAGTTGGTTTATACCCTCCCATGTTTCCCATTATTAGTGCAATCCTTATATAAGTTAATTAATAAGTTGAATCCCGTTAATCCCAGACCCCCATTTAAATCCCATACCGAAAACATCAGAAAATGCCTAGAATCCTGGAAATCGCGCGAATCCATGTATGTCTAAAGACTGGCAAACTGAACATACAGATGCATTGATACAATTTCTTAATGATACTATTATAGACTACAGATGGTGATGCATCCCCAGTTTTCATTTTTATAGACGGTTTCTGTATAGTGACCCTCTGGTAATATAGCATAGCTATAGAAAATTGCCCTTTTCGAAATAGTTGATTTATCAGATGGTGATTTTCCAGTTCGCTTTTTGTATGTTTACCAGGCCGGGTATGTCTGTCCCCATGCGTAGACGACAGGTGAATCAGGAGATTCGCCCCATGCTGGAAACCTTGGCCCGTCGAAGCTCGATGCATGGAACATTTGGATGTTTAATGATGGTTAATGATGGTCAATATTAGGTTGGTGTTTTGGAACATTGTTATTTTTCCATATGTTGGGAATAATATGGAATAATTATCCCAACTGACTAATATTTTCAGAGGGGATGAAACTGCTCTAGAAACCACCAACCAGATATTAATGTGGGTAAAACAATGCCATAAATCACCCATGTGGGAATGGTATTCATACCACCTATAAAAATGGTGATGACTGCAAGATGGTTTGTTTTTTTTTCCCACATTCATATGGTTATTGGGAATGTTGTTGGGAATTTTTGATTATACAGGGAAATATTAATATGGTCATTAATGATGACTCTAATATTGATTGATGCCCATGGAATATCATTGGAATATCAATGAGCTAATTGTTCGCTAATCTCAGGGTAATCTGTGGGTCAGGGGCAATAAACTATGTATAGGTAAAGTTTGGCGGTATATATGACGAGGGAGAAAGTGTTGTTACAGTGAATCGTCCCATTGAGTGTCAATAATTTTGACGCAAGCCGCCCAAGCATCCCATAAAATCGACCTCATCGCGATGTCACCGTTTTACCATCATGTTTAGCAGTAGCGGAATTCCCACCAATGAACTTGCTTTCATGTTGGTGAACTATGATGAAGTATCAACCAGAATCCACATCACTGTCCTCAGGAAAGAAGGCTCAGAAGCAGGAGCCTATCTCGGTCCAAATCAGCTCCCCGCTGAAGATGTTCCCAAAAGATCCCATTTTTGTCCCCAAAAAACGAAGGCACGGAGCCATGTTCCTATCTCTTTTCATGCGTCATCGAGAGATGTCCATCCCTTTGATCTCCATTCATATACAGAGAGAATGCTATTGAAAACACTAATTTAATAATTTGTTCTTGTGAAAACGCACTATTGACTATTGAGAGATCATGCTTGGATGTAGCCGCCATGGAAGTCCATCCCTTAGTCGTGGCAGGAGGAGTTGATTCAACAGCAGAAGGAAGACGAAAGGCTAACATTTGCTGAAGCTTACGGGACCCACACATGGTATGGGGGTATTAAGCATCTAAAATGGGGATAGAATGGGGACACATGCTCGAACCAAGTAGAGATTACAGGAGATTACCTACAAATCATCCAAAGTCTTGAAACTCTCATTCTTGCCATTACCCTGTGGTAAACTAACATAACTATGGAAAATCACCATGTTTAACGGGAAAAATCACTATGAATGGCCATTACGAGAGTGTAAAACCTCCACTATCCTTGGGATGTTCCAGCTCGTTTTGGCTCGAAAAACTTGACAGAAGACAAAAGCCAGCCCCCAGCCAGGCTCGAGATGGAGATACAGCCGCTCAGCCAGCTAATTGCTACAACTCGTGTTTCCGTGTGTTTCCCTTTCGATTGCATTCCATGGTTTTTTGCTCCCCCAAAAAGACAGAGGAGTAGAACCTTACCAAGATCGTGGTAGAGGAATGTAAATCAGTTGGACCTTTTGGGGCTATGGATAAGTTGCATTTACACGGTAAAACACGGTAAAACTACCCTGGTATTTTTGTTAGATGAAGCCCACCGGCATGACACCGAGGCTCGAGCAGGTGAAGATGGCCCGAAGAGAGTTGGGGACCCCGCGAATTTGTGCGAAGACCTGTGGAGAATTGCTTAAAAAAGTGAATGGTATTTTGAATGGATTTATATAAATGGAGTAGAATGATATTAAAGCCATTTAAATTTAAATCCATTGAATTTGTGACATAATAGGATTTAAATGGATTTAATATCATCCATATTGCCAGCTGCAGACTTAAAAATGCGTAAACGTGCTTGTTTTGTCGGAGAAACATACAGTATGCGTGAACAGGGGATTTTCACTAGGATTGGCTGATTTCATGTAACTGTTAAAATTTCAGTGTTTGCATGTGTGTTTTTTTCATATGCCCAATTTAACTTGGGACACTCACGGACGAATATGTGTCCAACAATGTGGTCCATTTTGTCCGTGAAATTGTACGCTGATGACTGCAGCATGGTACAGCCATCGAATTGTGGATACCCTATATACTTCAAGACAAACTCAATGGAGCATTTGGGCAAGAGAAAGCGAGTCGCTTTGTACTAGCCGCCTGCTACGCACAAGGCAGGCACGAGCAAAGCAGCGATCTGACGAAGAGAGGACAAAGATCCCCCCTGGAGTGGACTTGAACACATGATGGTTTAAACAGTAATGCAGAGTCACGGTGGTTTTGACATTAAATACCATGCGGGTGTTCCAAAGGAAGACCACTGAATAAATATGATTCAACCATATTCAAGTGGTTTTTCATTGCAGACTACGAGACTTCAAGTGCTACAAGTTGGGATGTAAGTTGGTTCATAACCCCACCAACTATAGCTGATACAGATATACGTTTCATGTACCATAGTTACTCGTACTATCCACCATGTATGTTTGATCCAGCTGGGGTAATGGTCTCAGATGTTTCCTCTATTTGTCAGAGGAGCAAAGAAGCCAAAGGCCATGATGGGATGGGGGTCTGAAGCTTCACAAGTGCGGGGCTAGAGCCAGGTTCCAGGAACCCCACACCCCTCCCCCCCCAAAGCTCCCATTTGCAAATTGTTTGCAGTATTTTGACTCTGTACCTTATTTGCAGCATTTGAGAGCCACAACTTCGTCACTGGACCCTGTCTAGCTGTATATTTCTCACATATCAATCTAAATCTAGCAGAATCGAGCACATACTACCCAAAACCTGCTTATGTACTGCCTATACCGTACCTCACACATGGTTTACCACTCATTGTATGCCGTTATCTATGCCACATGTTTGCTACATAGATTACATACTCAAAGAGCACATATGGATACCTATATAATCCTGTACTATATGCTTGGATGCAGCATGCACCTACAAAGACATGTATATACATATATATAATTATATATATATATGTATATACAAATCACCAACTAACATTACATGCCTATGTGTAGTATATACATTGCCTCACCACTACCTATATACTCCTTACACCCTACATATACTACCTACACATGTTTTATAGCGTACCTATATACGAGGCAGCGACTCTATACTATATACTATATACTATATACTATAAACTATATATATATATATACACTACCCGTAAACTCCCCAAAGACTCTCCATATACTACCTATAAACTGGACATCAAGCACTTAGAGCTGCACAAACACTGCCTATTTAGGACTGTTGTTGTTAGGACCCCCGGGGGGAACCATTTGGGAGGGGCTGTGGTGATCCCTTATACCCTTTGGATCCAAGTACCTTCTCAGGAAGTGTGTGGATATATACTGTATATATATATATATATTTATATTCATATTTATACATATATATATATATATATACACAAGTTTCACTGCGTTTTTTTGGGTGTTCTATCAGGTAAGCCATTTATTTCTGGACAAACTGGTATACACATGTCGTTTGTTGTGGTTTCTATTCTATTCTTCCGGAAAAATATTCCAATTCTCTCATGAATCACTATGCTACATGTACTGCTAGTGCCATACGGCATAACAAAAATCAGGGATCTACATATCACAAATCATCGTAAATCCGAATAATTAGGTGACTGGGAGAGCCAGAGTCTGTTGGTGCATGAATGGTTGCAGCACCTTGGTCTATCGGGCTTCTTTGGCGCGAAGTTAGTCTCGAATGCCTATTTTAAGAAAAGGAAAGAGAGAGAGAGAGAGAGAGGGAGAGAGAGATATTATATTATATATACCTTGACTCTCCAACGACCCTTAACTAATTGTCTTTCAAGAAAAACAGTTTTTTTTCCGAAAGTACTTTTTCCCAAAAGCATCTCCGATGCTTGGGTTCTCGTTTAGTTGCACTCGCCGCGGGGGAGCGAGACTGAGTGGTCGACGGAGATGTGTTGGAAGGAAGGAAGGAAGGAAGGAAGGAAGGAAGCAAGGAAGCAAGGAAGCAAGGAAGCAAGGAAGCAAGGAAGCAAGGAAGCAAGGAAGCAAGGAAGCAAGGAAGCAAGGAAGCAAGGAAGCAAGGAAGCAAGGAAGCAAGGAAGCA